TATAGCAGGGCAATTTGTAACAGCCAAATCCTGAAAACAACCCAAATGCCATCAACTGAGGAACAGATGAAACAAGATGTGGTGTTTTTCTACAATGGAATACTACTCAGCCATAAAGAATGACAATCTCGAGACTCTCATAGGTAAATGGATGCAACAAGAAACCATACTCCTAAGTGAAATACATCAGACTTGCATGTGTAAACATCATATTGTCTCTCTAGTGTAAGAAACTGAAAGAGTAGATTAGATCCAAAAGTTACAATAAATATAGTAAAAGGCAAAGAAATTGCTAAAAGGGAAGTTATATTGTTTGATCAATCTTGCATGCCTGTATCTGGTAGCCTTAGCAATCACTTTGAGGATAACAATACACAATATAACAACCATTATTAAATTCCTATCATCTTGTTTTGAAATTTTATATCACATTGTTTTTGTTTTGTTGTTATTCATTATTTTGTTTTTGTTGTTTTTTAATTGTTTACTTCTTGATTTTGTTTCTCTTTAAAATAAGAAATAAAATGAGGTGAAAGACTAAAAAAAGTTGAATTTAAGCACTGCAAATTTCCAGTTATAGAAACACTGTATTTTTTATTAGGCAATGGTGCAGGTATATAACTGTATTCATTTTTCTTAACTATAACAAAATACCTGATACCGACTACTCATGAAGAAATGGAGGTTTGTTCAGCACACACTCTTGGTAGACCAAACTCAAGATTTGGTAGTGAGGTTGAGGTGAAGGGGGAGTAAAGGTTTGGCCTCTGATGAGGGCAGCAGATAGTGGCATATGATGGAGGGAACACAGGTAGAAGTGTGAACATGATCCCATCTCAAACCAGGAGCAAGGACAGCATAGTGGCACACGCCTGTAATCCCAGCACTCGGGAGGTTGAGGTAGGAGGATCAGTGCAAGTTCAAGACCAGCCTGGGCCAGCCTGAACCACATAGCAAGATCCTGCCTCAAAAGACAAAAAATAAATAAATAAAATAAAAATTAAAAACAGGAGCAGAGAGAACAGGCGCCATGCTGGGTTCTTTTGCAATAACCATGTCATGATGGGATCACAAGGGAACTACATCACGCCTTTAGTGACCTAAGGACCTCCTGCCAAGCCCCATCTCTTAAAAAGTGCCAACACCTCCCAAGGGACCAAATTTCCAACACACAAGCCTTTGACAGGACGTAAACTATAGAAGTAACAACATGAAACATGAGCTTATGATACTCAAAACTTATATTAATAGTTTTTACTGACAGAAAACAGAAAAGATTTAATTAGTCCTATATTTTTCTTTCATAGTTCATTACTGCATTGCTCCAACATCTTCTGTGCCAAAATGTGACTCTGTATGCTTTCACTGTGTTGTACAGAATGTAACCTTAAATATTTAAGCCAGGGATGGAAGTTGGGTTTTTTCAGAGTCATTTTGGAATAGTGCTGTCCTAAATATAGGCTCTTCCCAAAATGGATAGAATCATTGTAAATAGTTCTTACAGATAGAATGATCTCTTCCAAGATGCAACTATAATCCTAGATTTCAACATTCATCCTTTTTAGTCTTCAATAGCATTTTGTACTGTGGTTAGATAATTTCAAATCACAGGCCTTCATTTGTACTGTCAAAAGTTAATTATGGAAGGTGAACTAAGTTATGTTAGGTTCTTTTCACAAAGTTTGAAATCAGAGAACTTTTTTAGAATCCAGTTTTCAACAGTACAATTTTGGAGAATGAATTTTAGGCAACTATTTTCATTTTTGGAAGCTGATTATAATGTAGGAAAGTGGATCAAATTATTCCTTAGCAAATGATTTCCCCAAAGTCTCAATTTTGTCAAGACTGAGAGAAGCAAAATGAGATATTTGTTCAAATACAAATGGTCTGTCTTGTGGTTTTTCAACTTTTTGATAATACAATTTTACTGTTCTGTGTTTATGCTATTTGAGGGTTTTTGCTTGTTTATATGTTTCTGGTTTTTGTTTGCTTGCATTGCTAACCTATGATATTTGTTACACAAAATACACTTTTATTTATAATATTTTCAATTTATAATGAATTTATTGGGACATAACCCCTTTGTAAGTCAAGGAACACTTGTGCTTGTGAATGTCTCCGTGGAAAACCATTCAAAAGATACAGATCAGTGGAAATGTCAGGAAGAAGCTCAGACTCCTGCTCATCCTCAGTGCTGAGTGGACATAGGACTATTCTCTTTGATGCTGTTAAAAATAAAACCTCTTCAGCAACTACAGTACAAGTCAGCATATTCATTAAGCAAACACTGACCTGATTTTGCTTGGAGACTTAGGAAAATAACTAATTTGTGGTATTAATTACCAAGTCCGTGCCTTGTCCCATTTTAGCTCTTTAGCCCAAAGTAATTCCTTTAAGAAAGTTAATGGACCTGGGTGTATTCCTACAAAGTAGTACCATCTCTGGTCTATGAGTTGACTGGCCCAAAAGCAAAGCCCACCATCCTGAAAGTATAGTAAACAGCTATAATAAACACTTAGTCACTTTGACCGGTGTATTCTACTTCCAAATGGCCTGAGACCTTTTCTATCACACAGAGTAAGCTATGTTTTTCTTTTCATGTGCATCTTGTGCAAAAGTTCTTTAACTCCTTTGAAAATTCTCACTATAACACATATAAATACAGTTAACGTTGCAATGGAAAATACCACCAATAATTTAACTTGTCCTGAAATTTCTCATCCATATTTTTAACATACTGAGCTACAATGCTGCTGGCTATCTTAGCATTTCCAAATTATCTGGACACATTGGCAGCATTCAAAAGAGATTCTTTTATAAAATGTGCTGTCTGTAAAAAGGTTCTGACGCCCAGGCAATTTTTTCACTTAATAGAGAGCTGCATTTCATAGCATCTCACTTGTTTTATTCTTATTCAAAAACAAATGTTGCCGTTTTTCAGTCCATTATGTTTTTCAACACCTATCTTTTGTGTATGCAAATCATAGCTGGCTTTATTATGGTGCCTGAAGATGTAATTTCTCTGTAAAAACAGTCTTTGTTGGATACTCTTCCCATTCACCAAAAAGAACAGACAGTCTTATTGTTTCTTTAAAATATTCGATTTTGTTGTTTAGAAAACATACAAGTTCATTTTCCTTTTAACTTTATAGGAGGAAAAGCTCACTAAACACATGACAGAAAATAAAAACTGCTATTTGATGTCAATACTGTGACTACAGTAGAAAAAGAGGGTCTTTAACTACCTGGGCAGAGCACAACCCTACACAAAATGCACTGCCACTTGGGGTTAGGGTGTGCCGACCTGTGGGGACATTGACTCTGTTTCAAGTGAGGCTGGAAATTCAAAAATTTTAAGAAAAATCCCTAAATGTTTCAAGGCTCGTAATGCATTCAAAATTTATTAAAATACTAAGTGGGTCAGCTCCAACCTAGTCAAGCAGAAATTATTGGTGGTATTTTCCATTGCAACATGTTAACTGTATTTATATGTGTTATAGTGAGAATTTTCAAAGGAATTAAAGAACTTTTGCACAAGATGCACATGAAAGCAGAATAAGCCTTATAAACTGAGGATAAACCATTGGCCATCCATTTGCAGCCTCTAGGGGTATAGCGCCTAACAAGAAAATAACCTTCACCCTGTCCTGAGAATGAAGAGAAAAGTATAATTACAACAGCATCCTTGTGTGACGTGTGAAACCTGAGTGTGATCAGCAACTTGCGACAGTCCAATGGTGCGGTTGTTGCAGTGGACAGGGCAACCTTCTTGAAACCAGGAGTACTGGGAAAAGCTCGGGTCCTTCAAACTTGGGTTAATGTCAGAGTTCTCATTGGAAGCATGGGTAATAAAATTGCTTCTTAAATTTGTCAGAATGATTAGGGAAACGTTTCGCAGCATGCTGTCTGGCATTTGGAAGGTGTTCCAGAGTAGGAACTATAGCTATTTTTATGAAATGCAAAATATAAGCTGACAACAGCTGCTCCCACTCCTTTCCCCGCTGTGTGAATGACCCGCGCCCAGCACATTGCCACACTCAACTTTTCTACCTCCTTATCTGAGCTCCTGCCTCTACTGTCCTTCCTTCTTCCTTCATGTTATTCCTGTGAGAAGCAAGCAAAGTGTCGCTCCCCTAGGAGGCTTCCAGGTGCTTTTCCTCCAGCCTAGGCAGAGCGCTATTCCCTGCTGCCTCACGGGAGCTGCATGCCGAGGTGTGGAAGCTGCTGGGTGGTGGGAGCCAGGCCACTCGCCTCACGGTCCTGGGCACTTGCGCAGTGTCTTTGCCTGGCACACAATAGGACTCACACAAAGGGAGCGAGAAGGGCGAGTGGAAACTGGGTGGCCCATGCTCAGTATCTGCTCCTTCTTGCTTTCATAGCCAGTTCTTTGGCTGCTGTTTGTCTCTCCTCTGTCTTCCCAATCCTCATCCAGCCACTATCTCCTCTCCTACCTGCACGCAGTGGGCTGTTCTGATCTGGAAGTGCATATCGTATCAGAGAAGCTTTGTCACTTTTGTGTCTTGTAAGTAGATACTAGAAAGACATCTTTTTTGAAAAGAGTTATTTTTGAAAAGGCAATTACAGAAAAAACAAAACAGTTCCCCCACTGCAGGTAAAGGAAGGGAAGCACATAATCCAAGGTCAGGCTAGCTCTGGGTACACACTGGTTCTTACTCTGCTTTCAGACCAAGGTGTTTTTAGTTAAGTGAAGCACTTCCCGTGCACTAGCACGAAAGAAAAACTCAGTGTGGGACAAATGTGCATGAACGTATCTGGTGGCTTCCAGTGAAAAATGGGTACCTCTCCCTCCAGAAGGAAGCAGATCCTTCTGGAATGCTCAGGACAAACCAGACTGAACCCCCACATGTGCCCCGGCCTAGTCACAGTGCTGAACTATCTGCATGAACTACTGGGGTGCTCTGATGTAAGTGTTTTGTCTTTTTATGTACAATGTTTGAATGACGACTATGCATAACATTCAAAACTTTGTTTTATTCTAGGGACATGGGTGACATTTGGAGGTCAGATTTCAGATGAGGTAACTTACTTTTACTTTCTACTGTGCCGGTGAAAAGAAAGTACCAAAAGAGCTATGCAGCTAGGAATACTCTCCTGGGACCCTGACATTTCACAGGGACAATATTTCAATCACTGCACACGGTTAAGATTGACTGCAAGATTATGCTCAATTTTATCTTGCCTCTTTTATTTTTCACATTTGGACTATTAATAGCTCTTGAGATTGTCAATCTATTTTATGTGCAGGTTCAACCCTTAGAGACTAAAACAGTTTGGAATTAGTATTAGTCACTTTATTGGTGCAGTTGTAGGACTTTGTTTTATTTATTTCTTTTTATTTGCCATGTGTTTATTTATTTGTAATCTAATTTTAGCACTGATCACCCATCTCTCAGTCCTGGGTGCAATTGGTTGCCTTGATTTGGGCAGGTTGTTCCATCCTGTCTGAGGTTCAATCTCTCCTGTGTCAAGAGGATAATGCTCCTGGTCTTGGCATGCATCAGACATTTATGTCCCCCTCTCAGGAAGAGGTAGTAAATACGCTACAAGTGTCAGGTATAGCCATTGTCTTTACTAAAAATACCTTTAGATCATTATTTACATGTTCAAAACAGTGCTTTGCAGCAGGATACTTTAACCATCGCCTTTAAGGAATTCTTTCATGCCATAAATGAGCTATGCAGGCATTGCGTGGGCAGGAATTTCCCTGAGGGCAATGTTCTTGAGCCTCTGATCCTTCCTTGCCTGACTGCTGTGCTGCACAGCCAGGGAGAGTAGATCCTCTCAGCAGGATCTAGTTCCCCTCTGCAACTAATGAACTTGATTTACCAACATTTCCCTCTATGAACAGTTGTCACATCATTAAGTGCTTCTGCTCAGCAGCATCTGGTCAATATTAATGAGATTTTGTCTGTAAAGGCTCAGTTTGCTGTCCCAGAACAGATATTCCACAGAGCCAGTTCTTATGACAGAATCATTCCTAAGGAGATGCTCAGAGACTGAAGGCTTCACCCAGATTTCCCAAAGTCACAAGTGTAATTTTCAGACATGGGGTGCGGTCTTACATGCATATTCTGAACTATCTAAATGAGTACTCCCACTGTTGGAATGTAGATCACTGTGTAGAGGGCCCGAGTCTTAGAGGGACTCCTTGGGAAGTGGACTCTGAGTTAGAAGTTAGCATGCAGGCCAGTTATTAGGAAATGTTGTCGGGATCAATACAGCAGGGAATGAAATAAGACCAAGGAGAGTAAGAATTGGGCTGTGATGCGTCTCATCAAAGACCTTGGCCTGCCCCACAGGGAGTTCTGAGATTGTGCTGCAGTGTTGTCCCAAATGAGGAAAGAGGACTGGATCTTTATACCCCTGTATAGACCGGTCATTGGGTAGACACTGACCTGAAAGCATGTCTGACCTTGGGCAAGGTAGCCCTAAATAAGCACAGTTTATAGAGAGGGCTCTCCCCCATAGGCCATCTGATGGCATCCTTCCCAGTAGCCAATGTCCTTTCACTTGAAGGAAGACCCAGGTGGCACCACACAGTGGCTATTGCCCAGCTCTGTGATTGACATCAAATAGAGTTGTGTGGTGGAGACACAGAGGCAAATCCACAGAGAGCAAAGCAAAGGTCACAGACTTAAAGTCAGATACTAAACTGGAGGCAGGGAGGTCAAAAGTTGACAATCCACTGGTTCCAACACATAAATAACCTACTACTGCCTGATGCGGTGTCTAGAGGGGGAAAGGGCAAAAGTAGCTTCCCTTTGGGACGAGAGGGACCAACGTCCCATTTTCCCCAGGTCTGTTTTCCCCTTCACAGCATCTGCTTTCTGCTGCAATGAGTCCAGCTTTCCCAGATCAGAGTGCAGGGCTGAACTCCGAGATGAATCATTTCGAAACTCTCATTTTCAACACTGCACAGAAAAGTCCTCGGGCCCTCCCGTCAGATGCACACCAGTCAGATAGCTGCCAGTGTTCTCAGCGAGCAGCTGCAGCCTTCCCCGGGTCCTGGCAGAGAGGCCGTCAGCAAGGAGGAGAAAGGCAGCTAAGCTCCACCCAGGCTCACCAGTAGCTGAGTTTCTCAAGATGCTCTCAGTGGGGTAAAAACATGAGCCAGTTCCAACAAATTCACCTCCTCAGATTTTCCTGTTTCTTTCCAGATACAAGCAACTCAACATAAAACAGGTGCAAATACGATATACCAAGATGACCACACTATAGTGCGACAAGTGAAGCTATTATCTGGGCCCGGGATGCTGCTCAGCGGCATGTGCCCGCCTGGCAAGTGCAAGGTCCTAAATTCAGTTCCTGGTACCGAAAAAAAAAGCAAAAAACACAATTGTTAGTACGGCCTCAGGAGACGGCGATGTCTTTGACTCTGCAAGAGTTCAGCAGTATATTGAATAATTCCTTAACACAGATATTACTAAACTAAGTCTCTGCAAGGTGCCTCTCAAAGGTTATTGGGCTTCATCATAAAACCCAGATAAATGCTGCTCAGATGAATAATAATTTCTTAAAAGTAATGGTATCAGCATCTTAAACACTTAATTTTTAGTTTTATTTCATATTCTCTCATCTGTCAGGTAACTAGGACAATTTTAATTGGAGGTAACAATATACCCTACCCAAGCCAGCTTAACCCATAAGAGAAAAAATATTTTGACTTTTAAACCAGGCATGTGGAATACAGCAGGTTTCAGTGAAGTATTCCCGCCCCATCGCCGGGTCATTCTTTTGCCCCTGCGCTCCTTTGAGTACGGACATCCGGACATCCGACTTCCTCTCGGGTAGTTAGAATGAAAGACCTTCAGGAATTCCAGGCCTCGATTAGAATAGCAACTCCACAGGAGTGTTGCTTCCAGAGACTCTGTAAGAAGAACATGAAAAAAGTAAATCCAAAAACTCTCTTTGTCTCACACATTGCACTGCCCGTGTGTGTCAGAGACCCTCCCCGAACCCTCACCACACGAAGCGAGATCAGCTTCCCCACTGGCCTCTAAGTTCCAGTGATGGGAGGATGGAATTATTCTCATTTTTCAGATGAGGAAACTGAAATACTGAGGTCAAATGATTGCCCAAGTTTATCTAGTAAGGGAACACACAATGCCCGAAACCAGTCTTCAGACCAGTTCAGTGATTTTTTTCTTCCACCCTTCCTAATTCAGACCTTCAGATCCTATGATTGGGAAATACTGTTAGTCCAAGTCCACTGTTAGTCCAAGTATCCAGCCAGAATTCTCCACCTAAGTTTCTCTCCAGCTAAGATTTAATGATATGTATTCCCCAGTAACAGTCCACCAATAAGTCACGATATAGCACAAGGGTAATATATAACGCAAGTACAATCGTTTTTTCAAGATAAGACAGTCCAACAGGAAAATCCATATTTGTCTTAAATTTTAACCTCTAGTTAGAATAAATGTTTTAATAGTATCAAATTAAAAAAACAATAATAGCATTTTTGCTATAATCATGCTGAAGGATCTTTATTGATTCTACATGGCTGCTTAGCAAATTTCTTGATAAGCCAATTTCCAAAGCCACAGAAAAATGGTTTGTCTTGGAAATGCTGCTGAAGCAGGTTTAGCCCACCATCCAAAAACATAATGGGGAAATCAATTTTAATTATTTGTAAAGTGTGTGATTTTTCAAATGACTAATAGATCAACTAACAGCAAAATGAAAAAAAAAAAATGGCTCTCCCTCTCCACTGTGATTTACCACTATTTCTCTAATGCTGCCCCTCAAACTATGGGTTGTAGTGTAACTCTCCTGCCACACTCACCACAAGTGTGCAGCGGCACAGAGGACAGGACAAGGAGCTCTGAGGCCAGTTTGCAAGCTGACTAGTGAGGAGCTGGATCCCTGTGGCGCGTCAAGGTGCTTACTCTCCTGGCTCTGTGTTGATTCAGCACTTGCTTATTGATGGTGTCTGGGATGTGGCTGAGCTGTGGGCAGCCAACATTTTATAACAGTCATGGCTCCCTCTCACACAATCATCTAAGCCTGGTCACAAGGTTCAGGTCAGGCGTCATTTGGTGCCCAAACCTAGCGGCTTAGAGAAAGGGGTTGAGGAATAGAGTCAACAGTGACACAAATAACCCTCTTTGCTAGAGCGATTAGATACCATCGGAAATGCTGTCAAACAGGAACCTACCAGCAGGGTGGGAATGAACCTGTCCACCTCCCTTTGCTCTAAGGCCAGGCTTACCCCTAGCAACAAAGGGAGATTACTGTTCACTCTGACTGTGGGCAGTACTCTCACATGCTTAAAGCTTCTTTTTTCGCTTTTCACTACAACTGACAAAAGCAAGAAGTGCTCAGTGAGATTTCAGAAAGGATTTAAACGTGTTTCTCAGGTTTGGAAGCCATGTAGCATTTCTGACCTCTGCATCCGCTTGCAGGTTGCTGAACGGCTGATGACCATCGCCTATGAAAGTGGCGTTAACCTCTTTGATACTGCCGAGGTGTATGCAGCTGGGAAGTAAGTTAGTACCTGTTGGTGTCTCTCCAGGGGCATCTGTGGAACCAAGAGTCTGCCCCAGACATTTCTGAAGGGGCTAGTGCCTTTGCCCGTGGGCCTTGGCCCTTCTCCCCCTTCCCCCAACTCTTTTAGCCGCACCAGCGTTAAGAATGTTGATCATACCTGGCCCCCTCTGGCCATTCAGTCACCTGTTTGAAAAGTGCACTGGAGGGAATTAGGAACAGTAAGCAATTGTCATCTGCATAAGAGACAGAGGTGGCTGATGCCAGCGTGGCAGCAATAAAGATCAATCAATGTTAGTTGAATATGTGAATAAGAAAATCAATGAGCAGTGTTCAAGATGGCTTTTCAAAAGTTACTCCATTGTTTTAAAACTATGTCTTGTAGCTGTTCAAGACATTCTCCCTGCAGGAGAGCAGGGACTACCCTTCCTGTGCCCACCTGTCCCTGCATTAGCAGAGATTCCAGGCAGATCAGACATGAGGTGGGATTCCCAAAGATGCCAAGAAATCAATAACCTTTATAAACAGCTATTGAGAGCACATTCTCAGGACAGAGTAGGTGTCAAGGAGGCTTTGCTCATTTTGCATGAGGAGGCTCATCTAGCTGATTCTTTGTTAGATCTGAGACAGATCACCATGTGTACAAACACGCAGGTGACATGGCCTCAGGCCATCCAGCATATTTCAGAATACACACTCTCCTCCGGCTTTCTGGAGTGAGCATATGTGTATACCTCCCGTAACCAAAGGAACTAAATAGCCGAAAAGCTGTCTGAGCAGCTCTGCAGTTCCCTGAAAGGACTGGAACATAATCACCCACAGCCTAATTCCCCGCCTGCAGGGAAGGATTACAATCAAACTACTGGACCTGCCAAATCGGCTTCCTCATCCTGAGGCCTAAGTGCAATCTTCTTGCTTAGATTCCTCCTTTTCGAGGTCAGTTCGAAGAACCATGGAGGAAGCTCAAGGTCCACATCTCTGCTGTTTTCTGTTGATTCCAAGAGAAAAAGTAAAAGTTATAAAGCCTTGATCTTTCTACACCTCTCTCATTCCCACTGTTTCCTTCCTTGTTGAATACTGCTTAGCACAAAATGGGCTAGGGTAGAAAGGAGGAGGAATGAACAGCAAGAGTTTGCATTCTTCCTGTGAGGCATAACTAATCATGTTGCTTAGTTATTGACTATCAGTGTGTAATTGAGATAGGGTGCAATGCAAGATTGCAAATGACAGTGGTCAAAAAGACAGACAGGAAGAAATAAAGAGAACATCAGTAACATTCAAGGCCTGTCTGTTTGGGGCACACTTCAGAGCTAATCTGCATTGTGATTTCTTGCAAGCTGTTCAAACAAAAACAGAACTTTCAGTTAAGACAAGAAACAATTAGTGACAATCCCAGCTACATCCTGCGAGGTGACAAAGTGCTAACTTCCTGACCTCCCATTTACAAACCTCTGAGAGCCCAGCTGCTTCTCACAATGCGGGCCTCCCTGGGAGGGACAGAGAAAGTTTAGCTTCTTCAATCTCAAATCTTTGGTTGTGGAGATGGACAGAGGTAGGAAAGTGTGATGTCTTTAGTACAGCTCTCCACCACCCTGCCTTAGGGCAGAAAGGACATTTTCTTATGTCTCTTGGTACTGTATCTTGCACCTATTACAAAGTTGGTCACTGGATCTCTGGGCATTCTCATGTGGATCACTACATCTTCAGTCCTGGCATCAGAGACATCTAAACTGTCATGAACATTCTATACTCATCCTCAAGGTCATCTAGGGTATTTTCTTTCTACACAGTGTGGGATCTCCTTGTCTTCCCTGATCATGACTGAATTGTTCTGCAGCAATCAGAAGGAAAACCTTGACTCCCATTCAGTACCACCACGCAGGACATTTATGTACGGGATCAGTGGTTCACAAATTCCAAACTGCCAAATGACTGCTGCTTCTTAGTATCAGGACCGTGGGTGGTCCCCTGCCAGTGTGTCAGGATTTGGCAGGTGCTTCTGGAATACTCCAGAGCAGGATTCTGCAGGCACAAGCAGAAAAATGGAAACTGCTACCAGCCGTGAGCAGCTTCTATTTTGGGGATATGTAGGCACGGAGAGTTCATACTCTGGAGTTTGGGTTGACTCTTGCTTTTCCAGGACACTGCATCCTAATGTGTTATCTGTTTTTCCTTCCAGAGCTGAAGTGATTCTGGGGAGTATCATCAAGAAGAAAGGCTGGAGGTACCGCATGTGCATAATTGTTATTTGCTTGTTAAAAGACATTATTTTGTGCCAGAGAAAGAAAATAAAATCATATGACATCTGACCAAAACACTGTCAAGAAATTAACTTTCGGTATAGAAAGAATTTACAATGGTTTGAAAGTAAATGCCAGCAAGTTCATTACTTGTGCTTCAAATTATTGATCAGTCATTGATCCCAATGAATAGTGAGGTTGAGCAAAGAAAAAGAGAATGTTCGTGAAATATTTGGGCATAAAAGAAAGTGACAGTTTCATGTCTTTGACTACCATTTGTGGTAATTGGGTGGAGGAAGCAAGCTGCAGGGAGCTGATTATCTATACAAACGAATTGATGTTCACCATTCATTTTATTAGCAACTGTACTGCAAAGAAATGATGAAAAAGGAAGCCCTTAGGATAAATATCCGCAAGCTTTCTTGTCTGAGTATAATCAGCTAGCATCTGTCCTGTGTACAAGTGTTCAGAAAAGTGCTTCATCTGCTATCTTCGAGAGGTTCCTCCATGAAATGAAAGGAGTACGTTCGCTTGTGCTATCCCATCATTTTTTATAACCAAAGCAGACGGAAGTGACCTCTTGTGAGGGTGGGGAGCAATGCTCCTACATTGCACAGTAGCTGCCAGTCACTGTAGCCACCTTTCATGAGCAGAGAGTGAGACAAAGCCCATTGTACAAGCTTGGGGACCTCTCTGCCCTAGAATGTTTGCTGGAGCCAAATAAATAAGAGCTCTCTAGTTAAGAAAACTGCAGAAAGGTTTGTACTCATGTGCATATTTTTTTAATCTAGTCTAGGACACATGGACATTCTAAAGGGTGCTACTCAGGATTGCTGGTATTACATCTTTGTATGACCCATTTAAACTCACTCTGGAGAAAAAACTAGAAGGGTGAAATCGAAGCCCCTTTATTATCAGGGCTGCTTACTTCTTGCTCTTGAGATAAATACTTGGTAGGAATAGAGGGGTTGGTGGAAATAGAGAATGAGGCATTTTTGGAGATCTGAACAAAGAAAATTTAGTGACCTACTTCTTCCATTCCCTAACCCCAGGGGAGCATTAAGGGAAAACCATTTTCAACCTTAAATGTGGAAAAATATTCAGTCCCCCACCCCCAGTCCTCTGCCTTGCCCAGGATGCACTGCCACTCAGACTATGGGTCTGTCCACCCTACATGCATAGAGCTTGCAGCATTTCTGAGGGCCACTGTAACCAAGCACCACAAACTGGGTGAGTTAAAGCAACAGAAGTCTATTCTTGCCCAGTTCTGGAGGCCAGAAGTCCCAAATCCAGATACAGGCAGGGCCATGCTCCCTCTGAGGCTCTACATAAATCCTCTCTTGCTTGTCCCTTGCTTCCGGTGGTGACCATCAATCCTTAGCGGTTTCTTGGCTTGCAGCTCACACCTCACCCTCTGCCTCGTCCCCACACATCATGCTGTCCCTGTGTGTCTCTGCACCTTCATATGAGAACACCAGTCACATTGGAGTTGAGACCCATTCTATCCTTTATGAATTACAAACATATGACCTTAGTTCCAAATAAGCCCACATTCTTAGGTCCTGGGGGTTTAGCATTTCCTGGAAGGCGGCACAATTCGATCTTGAACAGAAATGTTGGAGATGAGCCCACTCACAGTGCAGCAAGGCCTGCCGTGAGGTGCAGTCTTCCAGAGTTCACCTGAGGAAGGAAAGGAAGCATCTACTCCCTGTGCACAGTGGCTCTTGCCCCCTCCACACCCAGAGAACTTTTAATCATCTCTCTCCATAACTGTAGAATCTATTACACGTGCTTTTTGTGGAAAATAGATTAAATGTGTGTTTCACAAGCTGCCTCGTAGTCTTGCAAACAGACTTGGGCTATCACCATGGTACAGAATGTTCGTATCACTTCACAGTTGCCCCCAGTAGGCAGGTGTAAAGATAAACTATGTCATCCTAGCATTGAGCCTAGCATTGAGCCTACCACACAAGGGCTTCTCCTCCTGGTGCTGCCACTTGCTAGCTGATTTGTCCAGAGCAGGTTACTTTGCTCTTCTGATTCTCAATCTCTGTACCTAGAAAATGTGTAATATACTGTTCATGAAGTGTCACACTAACAAAATGAGAGTACGTGTTCAAAGTCTCCCAGAGACTGCGCTGTCACTATGTAACACGCACATTAGTGTTCTCAGTTCATTCTAGAGAGCCTAAAACCCCTGCAAGAATCTGTGATAATTTAGCAGGCTCCTGTCTACCCCTCCTAGGTGGATATAAATGCTAATGTGCACACAATCTAGGCCAAACATTTCACAGAAGGCTAACTTTGGAGAAATAAATACGTGGTGGTGTTCAGATCGAATATGAATCTTTGGCAGCCCCAACTGCTCTGAATGATTGAAAAGGCTGCATCCGTTTTTAATAATATTCCATTGAGCTTTTTCCTGAAGGTGGCAACCGTTTGTGAAAGGAGATCTTGCTCCCCTGTGGCAGACTGCTATTATAACAGGTATTGAGAGGCTGATGGATTAGCCTGGAAACTACATCAGCCCTTACGCAGTGTAATCTTCAGATGCATATATATGCAGACCTTCCATTACCATGACTTACATTACTTTTCAGGGAATTAACTCCAGTGGGATCAGGTTGCTGACATTTCCAAAACATTTCCCCTGCTGCAACCAAGTTGTCACAAGTGTCACTGTCATCCTCCATTGGTTGTCATTAATCATGCTGGGCTTTGGTACCCGAGCATCTTGAGGCGTGGACTCCACCGCTGATAGAATTATAAATGTTTTATTTCAAATAACCCCAAAGTTTGATCCTAACCTTTGAAGCTCAAATGATTTTCTCTAGAAAATTGAATTATATACCTAGAGGAACTGAATTTCACTGAGCTCTGCTCAATTAAATTACATGCCTATGGTTCTCAAGACATTTTTTATTCCATGGTCATAACACCACAATTGCATTTCTTGCCTTTGGGTGTGCCTTTGAGAAGGTGACAAATTTGCTAATAAGTTTTCACACTTTGTTTTCTTATCAAGTGGCACAACCATGAGTTAAAGAAAAACTATTTTCCTAAAATTACATTTTTATTTAATAGAACACTCAAAGAAAATATTTATTGTTTCTCAGATTTTACCTTATCGCTCATTTCTCTGTGTGGTCAGTTCCTGCCTGAGACCGTGATGTTGGAGAGGAAAATAACTCAGAGCAAGTAGGGTCTGTGGTCCTTGGCAGAGAGTGGACTTCCTCCCAGGACAACTTCACAGGCAATCAGCTTTACACCCGATGCTAAATAAGGGCTAACTAGGGGCTGCTACTTTGAGCTGCTGAAGTAGTTCATCCTTTCAGTCCTTTTGCTTGTATTTTTCTGAACATTTCTGACAAAACTGCCCTGCCAGTTATACTCACCTGCCCTTGGCATCCCCACCAAGGCTGCTGCCTTGCCCCTCCCCCTCCAGCAGCCCCGGGCAGGATCTTTCCCTTGATCTCCTTCTTCCAGGATCTGATATGAATGCTCACTGGCTCCCCTTTGTCTCTACCTTTCAGGGACATGAATCAACAGGCTTACCTCTATCAGCTCTTTAAACTGTGAAGTATAGTAACAATCATTTCTGGTGCTATAATGATACTATGATTAAGCCCAATAAACCCGCAATGTGTTTGCTAATTCTGTGTTTGTCTGACATGCAGGAGATCCAGCCTCGTCATAACAACTAAGCTCTACTGGGGTGGAAAGTAAGTTGAATACCTTTTATTTTTCCTGCTAGATAAGAAACAACTAGTAATTCATGCTTTGATCCATTGTAGCAATTATTTTACATCTAACTTATACTGCATTGATTGGTTTAGAGAGATGGATTTTTTTTACTTATACTAAGAAAATAGCAGTTAGCCCAGGATTCAAATTTAGCAAGCCACTGCCAAAGAAGTCTGAGTGTGGCCTCTTGTTACGAAGTGAATTATGTACAGTTCTCATATATCAGAGTTATACTAAGTATCCGTGTCATACTTAGAATGATTTCCAAAATAGAGATCAAACAAATTTCAGGAAAATTAGCACAAAGCATCACAAAAGAAAAGCTACTCAAATCTGCCAAATCGCAGAGACTTTGGCAGGATACAAAGATAAAAATATCTTGTCTGGCTCCATTAAGTCTCTGATCATTTCTGCAAAGGGCTCTGAAATTGCTGATCAAAAGGACTATCTCACTGGAGAATAGCGGGAAGCTATACCTGCTTCACTCGCTGTGGGGCCAATGAAGAAGTCTTCTCTCTGCTGTAAGATACACAACAAATTTTACAGGATGAGCTGGCTTCTGCTGGGCCTGGTGCTAGTGTTGGAACTTTACTAACATTATTCAGCAAGAACCAGAAGGCTGGCCTTTTTGACAAACATGTCTGAAAACTGCAAGCTATTCCATATGCCAGAGCAATGGTGGGCATTGTGCTTTGCATGGAAATCTCAAAGAATTCTGCAGCCTTAGCATTTTGTTTACTTTGCTATAATTGATAGGGAGTAGTACTTTTTAAAAAGGAGGCAAAAGCCTGTTCTTTAGAAGCCTTCTAATATATATAATATATTATATATATATATATATATATATATATATATATATATATATATATTATAGTTTTCCTGTAAGAAATAAGGATTTTCACTGTGCACCTTCTGAATCACTGCAGCAGTGTTGGGTACTTTTGCAATGTGAATCAACAGGAAATGAACCAAGCTGAAAGCAGAGTGGTACATGTAATATTATCTACCACATTTATGAAAGATACACAATTCACAAAGGTGAATGGTAAACTTCTGTGTTTTCAATAATGGCCAAGTGCATTAATGTAAAATTGATTTAATTTATAAAAATAATTTAAAATTCAACAGTTGTATTTCCTTCTGATTGTTTAGAGTTTGAGAAGTGTTGGGGAGGCCAAAAGTGTCTCCGACTAAAGGTTTTTCTTCTTAGCAATTTAAGAAAAATTTGGTTCATCACATTTTAGAGGAAAATATTGCTAAATTTCTTTTGAAGTCAAAGGCACTTTCAAATTTGCTTCCTGTCTCAGATAAATTAATGATTTCAGCAGTCTGGCTGTCTTACTAAACTCACAAACTTATGTAAGACTTTTTTTCTTCCTTACACTGGGAGAAAGCAAAGTGAGATGGTCGAGGGGTGTGTCAGAGTATTTACAGAGAGGGTGCCCGGGTGAGTTACTAAACTGAACTTAGTAATATGGATGGTGTGGTGTCTATTGTGCGAAATTCGCCTCCTGGGGTCTCTAAAGAAAAGGGCTCCCCAATATGTAGCTCACCTGCCTTCTCTCCTCAGCATCCAGTAGTATGGGATTTGCCAATAATAAACTATTAAATGTGCAATTCAGGCTAAGTAGAATTATTATTATTCTGCTTTTCGAGACAGAATGTTTTTCAAAGCATACCTCCACTCAAAGTCACTCATCTCCTTTTCTCTGCAGAGCTGAAACAGAAAGAGGGTTGTCAAGAAAGCATATTATTGAAGGTAGGTAGTGCTGTTCCAATCTTATTTTCATTTGTGGACTCCTGGTTATCAATTAAATAGTAGGTCGAAAACACATTTTAAGTAGAAAAAGTTCTGTATGAAAATAACCACAGTCAAACACGATTCTTCCTCGGGTTAAGTGTGGGGAGCAGAGAGGGAAAATGGGAGCACAGAAAGAAAAGGTCAGCTGTCTAAACTCTTCTCATGTACAGCTGCTGCTATGGAAATAAAGTACCCCAAATGATTCCCCATCCCCAGTACTGGGGATCGAACCTGGAGCCTCCATACTGAGCTACATTTACAGCCCTTTCTCTTTCCTTCCTCCTTCCTTCTTTTCTTTCTTTCTTTTTCTTTCTTTCTTCCTTCCTTCCTCTCTTTCTTTCTTTGTTTTTTCTTTCTTTCTTTCATTCTTTCTCTTTCTTTTTTTTCCTTCCTTTCTTCCTGTCTTTCTGATTGTCCGTCTTTCTGTCTTTCTTTTCTTTTTGAGACAAGGTGTTTCTTAATAACTGAATTGCCCAGGCTGGTCTCAAACTTGCTATCCTCTTACCTCTGGCTCCAGAAAACTTTTTGAAGGAGCCTTATTGAGATATAATATATGTCATAAGAGTTACCCACTGAAAGTGCATAATTCATTGGCAATTACAGAATTGTGCAGTAATTATCGTGGTCTAATGTTAAGATATTTTCATTAAACCTAAAAGAAACTTTGTACCCATTAGAAGTCATTTTCCATCCCTTATCCTCTCCCAAAGCCCCAAGCAAACATTAATTTAATTTTTGTCTCCATAGATATTTGACAGTTTGGATACTTCGTATAAATGAGATCATATAAACTACAGTGTGTTGTAACTGGCTTTTTTGACTTTGCATAATGTTCATCATGTCATAGTCTGTGACCCTACTTCATTCTTTGGCCAACTATAATTTTATCATGTGGATACACCACATTTTGTTTACCCATTTATCAAGGTACCTTTGGATTGTTTCCACTTTGAGACTCTTATGAATAATACTGCTATGAACGTTTGTGTACAAGTTTTTATGTGGGCACATACTAAGACTGAGAGAATTTTTGAAAAGAGCATAGATACATGCACAGAGAAAAAAAGCTAGAATTACTACTGGGTAATTGGTTCATAGCACCATTGCTTTTGCAATCTACTAAAATTTTTGTATAGTTGAAATAAACAGAAAGTAGAACAGTCTGTAAGGACTATTACATAATTGGGTAGTACCATTCTACTTCATTGTGGAGACTGTGAGAGTTCTGAGTAAATTTTATTTATTTCTTCTTCTAATTAAAAAATTTATACTTACACCTTTTGTAATAAATAAAAATAGTTAAAGGGCCTGCCATATGTTTCCACCATCTTTGTACTAACTCATGAAATAGTTCGTGAAAAGACCAGATAGAATAAGTTTAGGTTCTTTATTAATGAAGACAGATAATTATCACCTTCTTTAGTAATAATTCTATGAAGACCCAACATCACTAAAAGGAGAATATATTTTTAATCTCAAAATTAAACATTAAGTAGTAAGATCCTCCTTGCTCTCACTTTGTCTCATCTTACAGTTTGACAGTCTGGTGTGCACACTTCCCAGCGTTTCATTACACTGACCTCTCCATACCCTCTATCTGCACACTCACTTATATTTTAAAATACTAAAATATGCATGGTAAAACAGTAGAAGCAAGTAACCTAGCTTTTTCTCAGTTAAAGTATATTTTATACACACAATTTATGAATTATGTCCAGTTTTTCATATAACAGAATCCTGTAAGTGACCATCTTTACATAAAGGAAATAGATTATAGAAGGGGAACTAGTAGGTCAAAGAATAGGGCACTACACTGCCTTCTAAAAATAATGTACCAGCCTGTTAGATGAGGAGGTTTTGTTTATTTACTGATTGGTGCACTTGTTAGCAAATTCAGCTTTTTTCATAATTTTGTACTTCTTTTTCTGGGAATCTTTCTGTTTATATTCTTAGGCTGTTTTCTTTGAGTTGTCTATACTGGTCTTAATTAATTTTCAGGAGCTCTCTGTATCCCAGTGATGTGCACTCTTTTTGGTTTTATGTGCTGCAAACAGTTTCTTCCTGCTTGTCATATTGTTGTGAGCTTTTTCTCTCCATGAACCTAATCTAAAACATAATGTTTAATTTGAGGATATTCAGCTTTCAGTTTGGAATTTAGAGACCTTTAGTGACTTGTAAATATGGTTACTTTGAAATATTTTAGACTAACAGTAGAAAAAAAAAACAGTTCCAACAATCAATCATTTAATTTAAAGTGGAGAGTTTTGAAGCTAAATCTCACACACATACACACACACACACACACACACACACACACACCCATACATATCCCTATATCATTCTGTTGTTTCTAGTGTCTTTGTGTGAGTTTAGTATTTCTCACTGATTTTCATTATATTTGTAAGCGTATGGGCTTTGAAATCAGACAGATCATTGTTCAAGTTCTAACTCTGCCATCTATGAGTGACATTGTACAAGTTAATTGACCTCACTAAGCCTTTGTCTCATTGACTATAAAATAGACTACAAATATTTTTGTCTCCTGGGATTACTATGTGGAGATTAAAATCAGATAATGCATATAGAGCATTGTATATGTTACATAATAGCACATAATAAATGTCATTTTGTCATCAGTATTATCCTTATTCTTAGAGGCGCAACTGATAGCCTACACTTTATGGATGACACTCTACTAAGAGAAAGACCACTTCCTACCCCAGAGAAAGCCACCAAATTCCTCTCTTAAACAAAAACCCTTCTCCAAGCCCCTAGAGATTTTGCCACCATTTTCTAAATCAAATTTGCATTGCTTTAATATTTACTAGCATGTATACATAATTTTAGAATATCTGTCTCCAAAAATCATTTTTCTTTAGACCTCAAGCAACTTAATACAAATACCTTAAATTTCCTCTTCCCTTTAATTAAATTAGTAATTCTTTTAGGACCTAATCTCTTAGGATAGTTAAACTAGTTCAGCTAAAATCCAAACTGCCCCAGATTCCAACTTTATAACACAAAATTTTAAACTTCTGCAAACTGAGATTCCTTACTATGTTGTTGTTATTATTCGGTGTTATTTTGAAGTTCGTAGTTTCACCCAAAGACAAAGGCTCGTGTACATAACAGAGTCATCTCCAAAGGAGGCAGGCTGAAATTAGATAATTAGTGAATGTTGCAGAAAACCAGAGATAGGCATTTCTCAACCCAAACTAAAATTTGAAGAGGGTTACAGATACTTGTCCTTGGATTTCATTGGTACTTTTCCTGTGATGACGGTGTCCTTACTTACTCAATGCTGGAGATCTGTGGGCACATTAAATTCGAGAAGCACTGGTGAGAGGTAAAACAAAGTCCAATACATGCAGAGCTCAAGTCATGTGTGAGAGACCTTAAGCATCTGACTTAGTTTACAGAGGATAAAGTGAACTTGGTTTGTGCATAATTGAATTTGGGGAAACTCCTATGGAAGGCCTTTCCTATGATCCTGAAGCCCCTGGCTCACATCCAGTTAATATAATGTGCTCTTCAGATTCTCACAGAGACAGAAGCAATTTTATTAGTAGGTTTATTATATCTATTTAAAAATCTCAAGGTTTTCTTCATGCTTTAAAATTCTTATTTATTGATTCAGCTCTTTTACAAATATCCCATTAAGTTCTACTTTGTGCCAGCATTAGAATTTGGCAGGTTAAATTCCTTTAGTACCTAACATAAAGAAATAGAAGTAACTTGAAAGTTACATTTAAAAATAAGTAGATCGCTTGTGTGTTTTTTACATTCAAAGCCACATCTAAGTCTACATTTGCCTTTATGCAGACAACAATTTTGTTGTGTGTTTTAAAAAGAAAACTGTCATTGTAGGAGAAAGAGAGAAAATAAATTAAGAAAGCTCAGCTTGAAACATTTTAGTGAGTGTCAAATGTTAAGCCCTCTGAATTTTAAAAGATAATTAATCATTTCTCCATTAAAGAATAAGCTTCCCAACAAAAGGATCTACTGCAGGATTCTTTCCTCTGTAGCATGTCCATGCACACTTACACCCATGCAGGATTGCCATGTTGTGTAAGTGTAGGCACAGCCTCTCATACAACTGTGATACAGCACAGCCTTTAAAACAAGAAGCAAAAGTGTCTTCAATTACGACTGAAATGTCTACTGACATGAAACCGGGAATTAAACAGGGAAATAATGTGCGTTATTTAAGGCAACATTCTTAAAGCAAGCAAGTTCAGGCAGTAAGTGTAAACAGTGATGACATGACATACTCGAACACAGCCTTGCAGACTCTCCAGACTACAAATGTCCTGGTTTCTACAGTTAAGTGTACAGAACCCACAACAGCTGTAAACATGCCAATCTGAAATAAGCATTTTATTCCAAGTCTGAAATAACTATTAGTTCAGAGCCCTGTTAAATAGGCTTAAGCTGAATGACAGTTCATCTTGTAAACAATATGGTTTCTGTTCAACTTCAGATCCTCAAAAGAAAAATGAGTGTATATGTATTTTTTAAACTATGGTCACCTGAAAGCTATGTCTTCACATAATTTATGATCCTGTGCACTTTTGAGGAGCTGCCAGTTGACTTTTGGATATTTCCTCAAGAACAGGGAACATTTTTCTGCCAGGCACTGGGTTAGTGCTGAGGGCAACCTAACCTCAGAAGTGACTTCCGTGAGAGCATTGCTGCTCTGGAGCTGGAGCACTTACCTCCGCACATCCTGATTAGCAGCCCATCTGCATTCTGCAGCCAGAGTCAATGCATTTTTGCATATCCACTTAACCTGAAAATCATACCTGGGCCCAAGCCAGTGTTCAGGAAAACATTTGCTAAATGGAAGTAAAATATGACTGCTTGTTTATTAGAGCAAAATCTTAGGTGCCACTTAAGGAGATATTTGTTGAGCGTGTCTTTATACTCATATGATCTTCCTGCTTCCACAAGAACATCCAAATAGGAAAATGCAGGACTCCCTTATTTGATTTGCAGTCACATTAAAGACCAAGCCAGAAATGTCCTAGCTGCACTACATCCTTGGACAGATTAGAAAATTGAAGCTTACTGGGGATAGAGCACAGTGCCTGCCTGGCATGCTCGAGGTCCTGAGTTAGATTCCTGGTACAGGAAGAAAGAAGGAAGGAAGGAAGGAAGGAAGGAAGGAAGGAAGGAAGGAAGGAAGGAAGGGAGGGAGGGAGGGAGGGAGGGAGGAAGGAAGGAAGGAAGGAAGGAAGGAAGGAAGGAAGGAAGGAAGGAAGAGAGGAAAAAGAAAATTGAGGCTCAGAGAATGTGAGAGACATCACAAGGTCATTCACACCAATTCAAATAGTGCCCTCTCAATCAATGCTTCCCCCAAACCCTGTACCTCACCTCCTCCCTCTGGCCCATGCAGCTGCCAAGAGATCCATAGGGGAGACAGGAGCTGTTCAGACTTAATCTGGCTCCCACAACCCCCCATGCTGTGCTCTCCCCCTGCCTCCCCATTTTAGCAGCAGTCACCTCACTGTGCAGGCCAAAACTCAGGTGTCAGCCTCGATCTTCTGACATCCACACCCTGTATCCTGACACACGCACACTTTTTATGTCTACTTCCACATCTCGTGCTGATTTTAAACATTCCTTGCCTACTGGGTGCAAACCTCAATGCTGCAGGCATCTCCTGGCCGCTTTCTTTTCCTGCTTTCATTCTTGTCCCTATGGGGCCTCCTCAACAGGCAAAGCCATGCATTCAAAGTGGAAATCTGGTCATCTTATGTCTTCTGATTAATACCACCCCCAACTCACCTCCATTCCCTGGTCTTTTGTCAATAGTTTTAAATCTTTTACAGAATAAAATCCGAAGTTCATACCCTGGATTGCAAAACTTTGTGACTTAGATTCACAGTGAGTGGCTTGTGTCTCTTCAGGGTACAATCTTACTGGCCCCTTCTCAGAGTCAGGGTAGGTGAGAGTCACTGTGCTGAATTCCACGTGCACTTGAATTTTGCCCAAGTCTATTTATCTATATCTATATCTGCATCTATATCTATCTATATCTATTGCTTCCAGAGAAAGAACTGATGACTGAGGAATGAACCTGTGCAATGAGATGGATCTTTATAGAAGTCTATGTCATTGTGTACAGGCAGACATTATGACCTGCAACAATAAACCTGAGGGGCTGGGGGTTTAGCTCAGCGGCATAAGCGCCTGCCTTGCAAGCAGGCAGTCGTGAGTTCAATCCCTGGTACCGATAAAAAAAAAGGAAAAAGACAAAAAAAAAAAAAAAAAAAAACAATAAACCTGAGCACTGGTTGTCCTCAATTCGCACTGCTGACCCTTCGCAACAGTTGTGTCTTTGTTTCTTTACACCTCTGCAGTTTCAAATCTAACTGGGACTCAATACACACTTGTGGCATGGAAAGTAAATGATTCGGGTCATGCCTAGTCTGTGCCTGCCCAGACAGCATTATGCTATGTCTGCGCTCAGTTATTCAGTCTCTCCTAGTTACTCCCAAACCGCGTTACCGAGTTATGGGGAACAGTCACACAGCAGGACAGGGGTGAGGCTGCGGGGTGGGGAGCGAGACATTCTCAGAAAGGAAGCCACTTGTTTCCACTGCCAGGCATGGGTCAGAATTTAAATCTCGAATTTTGGCCATTTAGCCTTCAGTGCTCTTCCTCTGAAATTCTTCCGAATGAATATCACATTATAATTACCACATTACATTTCTATTGCATATCTGTTACATCACTCTGGAGCAGCAATTCTGAGCATCATGGTTTTGTCAGCCCTGAAACCAATTAGAGAATCAGGTCATTAAAAAAAGTCAAAGATCCACAGCATGTTAGGGTGAAGAATGCTAACCTTTCAAAATTTCGCCTATCCCTTATCTTTTGTGACATGTAAATTTGCTCATATATGGTAGTACTTTTTTTTTTTTTTTTTTTTTTTTTTTTGTCTTTTTCCTTTTTTTATCGGTACCAGGGATCGAACTCACGACTGCCTGCTTGCAAGGCAGGCGCTTATGCCGCTGAGCTAAATCCCCCGCCCTATGGTAGTACTTTTTAAGGTTAATGTAATTTCCAGTTGCCCCTTGAGATGGCTGGTGCTGGCCCAACCTTGAAAGTCCCGGCAGATTTGGGAGAGCAGGCTTCAGACCTCCAAACACCGTCTGTCCTCATCTGCTCATCAGAGCTTTTAACCTGTGCCATCACAGACAATTCCTTCTCAATGAATGGAAACATTTCCGGAGCTATATTCAAGCACTCCATTTTCCTGTCAGAAAAGTAATTGTGGCTGTCCAATAAAGCAGTTTGAAAATCAAATTCAAATGAGCCAAATTTAAATTTATAAGAGCCTCATTTAACAGACAATTAATTTTATGCTCATAATAAAAAGAGGAAAATCTCCGGTCTTCCTCGGGAATTAAAAGGCTGATAAGGAAATTCTATGCTTCATGGAAATGAGACAAAATAATTCCTGAATACTGTCCTCCTTTTAGTTGCATAATATTACATAAAGCACATTCTATTTCAGGGAAGTATTACTTTTATTGAAATTAATTAATTTTTTCCGAATACTGGAATGAGGGCTGAAAGCTGTTGGTGACAGGCTTTCTTTTTTTAAATTCTCATTCTCTCCTTTATATTGTTTCTTAGGTCTTTATGGTCACTAGTGTTTTTGCTTCTCTCCCAGAAACGTGACTAACAGAAATGGTAGAACTTAGGTATGCTTTTTAGGTTCTATAAAATTTGGCAGGATTAGTAAGACACTGAAGAAATCCGTCCTGTACTCACCCCTTGATGTTACAAAAACTTATACGTACTGGTAAAACTTGTGTTGTTAAGGCAATCATTTTTTTCTGATTTATATTATTTTAACGAGTTGACATGCAACAAAAATATCTCCATCTCACTATAAGTCCATTAAGTGATTCAAAATATGAGCATTAATTTTCATTTTTCAAGGAAAAAACTCCTTAAGCGAAGCTACTTTCTATACTAACTTCGCTCCTGTATATCACCATGACTCACTGTATGCGATCATTATGTGTTTTCCAGAGGGAATGTCCGTAACCATGAGACAGTCCTAACGCTTTTCAATGCCGAGGCAACGTCAGCCTGTAATACATTTTGAAAAAATTCCAGGCACCAATCGATTGTCATCACATTCACTGAATTTTATTACTTTTTTATTTTTAAAAATTTTAAATTGACATAATAAATGCATATTTATGGGGAACTATGTGATATTTTGATATATGTATACATTGTTTAATGTTTAAGTCAAAATAAACATAACCATGTCTTCAAATTTTTCATTTTTATGCTTAAAACATTAAGAACCCCTCTCGCTTCTTTAGAAATTTACACCACAATATTGTTATCAGTAGTCACCCTACTGTGCAATAGAACCAAATATTCCCCATTTTTCTTCCCCAATATTCTCCCAGCCTCTGGAGACATGATTTTATTTTTAACTTCTATGAGATCGACATTTTTAGATTCCATATGAGTAAGATCATATGGTATTTGTCTTTTCGTGTCTGGCTTATTTTCACTTAACATCATGTCTTCCCGTTACATTCATGTAAATATATATGACAGAATTTCACCCATCTATGGCTGAGTAATATGTATATCTTTATATCACATTTTCCTTATTCATTCAACAGTTGAAGGACACAGTTGATTCAATTTCTTGGCTACTGTGAATGGAGCCGCAACTGACCTGGGTGTGCAGAAGTCTCTTAAACACGTGGATTTCATTTCCTGTGGATCTATACAGTGGGATAGCTGGATCCTGTGCGGATTACATTGTTCATCTCCACCCGCAGTGTGTGTGGGTGGCCTTTTCTCCAGTCCTGCCAGAGCTTCTTTTGCATCTTTTTAATGAGAGCCATTCTAACTGGCGTAAAGTGGTGTTCACTGTGGTTTTGATTTGCATTCTTGTTATGATTAGTGATGTTGAACTTTTTTTTGTATCTCTATCGGCCATTTATATGCCTTATTTTGAAAAATGTTGATTCAATCTTTTAAAATTAAATGTTCATTTTACGTTTTAATTAGATAGTGAAGATGATTTGTTACTGAGTTGAGTTTCTTAGAAATTCTTAACAATCCCTGGAGAGATGTACAGCTGGTAAATACTTTCTCTTATTCTGCAGATTGCCTCTATAGGTAACCCACTTGTCTGTTTGCTTTTGTTTCTTGTGCTTCTGAGATCTAATCAAAAACTCTTTACCCATTCCTTTTTTCTGAAGCATTGCTTGCTCATTTCCTCTAGTAGTTTCACAGTTTCAGCTCTTACATTTAAGTCTTTAGTCCACTTGGAGTTGATGTTTTGTATACAGTAAAAGGCATCTAGTTTCATTCTTTTGCAAGAGGATGGTTCAGTTTTCCCAGCATAATGTATTGGAAAGACAGTTCCCCGGTGTAGTTCAGCACTTACTGAAGATGAGTTAGCCCTAGAGATGAGGTTACTTCTAGGATATTTTGTCCATAGGTTTATGTGTCTGTTTTTAATGCTAATCCAAGGCCATCTTGATGCTGCAGTTCTTGGAGTCAGTGTGATGCCTCCTGTGTGTTCTGCTCTTGGCTACCTTGGCATCTTGTGGCTTCATATGAATTCAGGAATTTTTGTCCAGTCCTCTGAGTAATATCATTGGTATTTTAAGCAGGGTTGAATTTAATCTGTAATTAAACTTCGGGTGTTACGAACATTTTAACGACAATCTTTCAATCCATAACCATGGGATTTTTTTCTACATTTTTTGGTACTCTTCAATTTTATTTATTATTGTTTTATAACTTTAATTGTAAAGATGTTTTACTTCTTAGTTAAATTTATTCCTTCTTTTCATTCTGTCCTGTTTTGTTTGTAGCTATTGAAAATTGTATTGCTTTCTTGACTTCTTTTCCAAGTAGCTCAAAATTGGTATGTAGAAATACAACTGATCCTTTTTATTTTAAAGAGAAAAAAACAAAATATCAAAACAATATAATAAGAGGATAATGATGGTTACTATACTGCATATTGTTGTCTTTAAATTAGTTATTCACAGCATAAAATATTAGCATTCAATTGTCCAAACAATAAAAGCACAAACCTTTCTTCTTAGTGAATTAAATTACATTAGTAATATAAGTATTTTAACTATCATATGTATGTATATATATATATATATAAAACTTTTTTTGCTTTTCCCCTCTTTTCTCCATCCTCTCATCCCAGTATCTCTTTCCTTTTGTAGCTTCATCCAATTTTACAATATCTATTGTACATTTTGGATCTTATTTACTCTTTGAGCTTCTCACACGAGGGAGACAATGTGATGATTACACATGTACATCTGGCTTATTTCATTTATAGACATGATTTTTGAGTTGCATCCATTTACCTACAGAGGTCTCTAATTTATCCTTCTTTATGGCTGATTAATACTCCATTCTATAAAAATACCATGTCCTTTTTTATCCATTCCTTGGTTGATGGGCATTTGGGTTGTTTCTAGCTATTACAATTTGTGCTGCTATAAACATGATACCACCAATTTTTTATGTTGATTTTGTGTCCTGCAACTTTGCTGATTTACTTGTTCTAATTGGATTTTTTGGTAGGTTCTTTGGGATTTTCTATGCATGACAATTTCAACCAATGGCAACTTGACTTATTTTACAATTTGAGTGGCTTTTATTTCTTTCTCTTGCCTTATTTTTCTAGCCAGGACTTCCAGTATACTATTCATGTGTTGGGTAAAACTTCTGAAATTGGACATCTTTGCCATGTTCCAGATCTTAGAAAGATTTCAACTTTTCCACTTTTAATATGGGCTTGCTGCATACATAGTCTTGGCCATGTTGAAGTACATTCTTTCTATATCTAATTTGCTCAGTCTTTTTTAAAATCATGAACAGATGATGAATTTTATTAAGTGCTTTTCTGTGTCTATTGAGATGTTTTGGGTTTTGTCCTTTATCCTGCCTGTTTCCAAAAGTTGATTTCCAAATGTTGAACCATTCTTGCAACTTTGGAATAAATCTCATTTGATCGTAGTTTATAATCTTTTCATGTGCTGTTAGATTCAGTTGGCTAGCATTCTGTTTGCTCAAATTTTTGCATTTGTGTTCATCAGGGATATTGGCCTGGACCTTTCTTTATGTGTGTGTGTGTCCTAATCTGCTTTTGATATCAGAGTAAAACTGGCCTCATGGAAAGGGTTTGAAAGAAATTTTTGTCCCCTCAAGTTTTTGGAATAACTTACGCTGCAAGTTTGAGTATCTTGTGTTTCCATTTCTGTCTTGGTTACTTTTCTCTTATTACTGAGACAAAATACCAACACCCAGAATTAAGGAAGGAAAGGTTTATTTAGCTCACAGTTTATAGAGGTTTCAGTTCATAATCAGCTGACTCCAAGGCAGGGTGACCTGGCACCAGAGCAGCCATTCAAGGAAGCAGAAAACAAAGCAGGAAGGCACAAAGGAGGGGAGCAGAGCAGCCTCTTTTCCCTTATACTGTAAGCAGGCTGCCAGCCCCCCAGGACGGGTAAAGTAATCACAGAATCTCTATGCCTGCATCTTGCACAGACTCAGGATATTTACAAAGTGAGGATCTTGGTCCCCTGCTGAATCACTTAAACTTCTAAACTTCTCAAACTACACAACGTATCAACCTTTGCAATTACCACTTGCCTCAAATCTTCAATTTTCTTTTTTAAAATAACTGTCATGAGTTATTTAAAATGTTTGGTGAGATTCAGTAGTGATACCACAGGGTCCTGAGGTTTTGCTCTGATGAGAGACTTCATTGCTGATTTAATCTTTTTACTCAGGTTTGGTCTGTATATGTTTTCTATTTCTTAATGATTCACTTCTAGTACAGTGTAGTACAGTGTACTTGTCCAGGAATTTATCCATTTCTCCTACATTATCAAATTTCATGGTGTGTGGGTGTTTGAAATAATTTCTAATGATCCTGTTTTGTTTTTTATTTTGTTTGCATTTTCTCTCTTTTTTTCATGGTCTAAGGATGTGTCAATTTTATCATTTATAGATTTAGTTTTATGTCTGCAATACATAATGAGTCCAGTCATCGTGGAGAACGGGCACATGCACATAACACATCTTAATTATTTTTGTCCCCTTCCCCTCCTCTCTGTCCCTTTTCTCTTTATCTTTTTGACAATAAACTCATTGTTTTATTGAACATTTTATTTTTTTCTTTATTTCATTCATTTTTGCCCTGATTGTTATTCTCTCCTTGTACTAACTTTGAGTTTGGTCTGTTCTTGTTTTTCCAATTTATTGAGGCTCATGTTAGATTGTTTACTTGACAACTTTCTGGTTTTTTGACAGATATTTATTACTGTAATCTCTCTTCGTAGTACTTTTGCTGTATCGCATAGATTTTATTATGTTCTCATGATCATTTGTCTCAAGAAAATTTTAATTTACTTCTTGGTTTTGCCAAGCATTCACTGATTGTTGAGAAACATGTTATTTAATTTCCATGTAGTGGTACAGTCTCCAAATTTTTACTTATTTTAAGGTTTAAACATATTGTGGTCAGAAAAGATACTTGATATGACTTCATTTTTTTTTTTTTTTTTTTGCCTTTTTTGTTTTAATCGGTACCAGGGATCGAACTCACGACCACACACTTGCAAGGCAGGCGCTTATGCGCTTATGCCACTGAGCTAAATCCCCAGCCCCATGACTTCATTTTTTAAAAATATGTTGTGAATCGTTTTATAGCCTATGATATGATCTGTCCTGTTACATAACATATTGAGAACATGCATTCTGCAGCCAGATGGGATGTTGCATAGATATGCTGGGTCCATTTGGTCTAGGGCACAGTTTAACTGCTGTTACTGGGTGATATATACAGCACACTGCCGAAAGAGAGGTGTCAAATTCCCCAATTATCATATTGGAGTCCACGTCTCATTTATTCTCATTAATATTTACTTTATATATTTATATATTTAGATGCTCTGATATTTAACGACCATATATACATATAATTGTTATTTCCTTTTGGTGAGTTGACTACTTGATCACTGCAAAATGACCTGCTTTGTCTGTTTTGATTGAATTTGATACAAAGTCTGTTTTATGTGATATAAATACAGCTTTCCAGCTTTCTTTTAGATTCCATTTGCATGGAATATCTATTTTCAGCTCTTTACTTAGAATATGTGTATATCCTTACAAATGAAATGAGTTTTTATACATGGTATAAAATTCCTGACTTGAAACTATACTACAAAGCCAGCGAACATGTTTGGCCCCTTTGTCAAATATCAGGTGGCTGAGTGTCTTTGTAGCTGTGCTTGCATCTTCTATCTCTACCATTAATCCTCAGGTCTATTTCTTTGCCAGTATCATGCTGATTTTATCACTGTGGCTTTGTACTATAGTTTCAAGTCAGGAAATTAGATAGGTGCCTCCTACCCTGCTTTTGTTGCCCAGAATTGCCTTTGCAATTCTGTTTCCAATGAATTTTAGGAGTGTTTTCTTTAGATTTGTAAATCAACCAATACCAAATGTTGGTGAGGCTGTGGGGAAAAAGGAACACTGCTCCACTGTTTGTGGGAGTGTAGATTGGTGCAACCACTATGAGAATCAGAATTCTCAGAAGTCTAGGATTGGAAGTTCCATTCAATCCAGCTATTCTCCTCCTGAGTATTTTCCTACAAAAACTAAAAAGATCATATCACAGTGATATATGTGCACTCATGTTCATAGAAGCACAATTTGTAAGAGCTAAATCTTGGAAATAACAAAGATGCCCATCAACTGCAGAGTGGATGGAAAAGATGTGGTATTTTATGCAGTGGAATATTACCCAGGTATAAAAAGGATGATCCTGAGGCCTTCATAGGCAAATGGAGACAACTTGAGGCTATCCTCATTAGTGAAATAAGCAAGAATCATATTTATAAATATCACATTATGTCTCTAGTGTAAAAAGTAATAAGAAATGTAGTAGTAATAAAACCCAAAATGTGTAATTGCTATTGTACAAAAGAGAGGAAAAGAAAGTGCTCCACAGGATATAACTGCATGTATGTTTAAGTGTGTAGGCTTGATAGCCATACTACTAAGTTTTTGTTGGTTAGTTGAACAGAACAGTTTGCAGTCTCGCTGTTTGAATGTCCACTTTGTATGCTTCACTTTTATAACTTGAACAGCTGTTCCTAAGAGGACAATATGTAATTTATCAACTAGTGAGTCTTACTGTGTTTTTTTGAAATTATGTATTATTTTTACCCTTTTTGTTTTGCTTTTTTTCTTTAAATAAAATTTTAAAAATTAAAATAAATAAAATAAAATAGCTACTTTAAATTCTCTCTTGAGAGATCACATATACCCATTAGCTTATGGTAAGTTTCTGACACCTTATTTTGTGTATTAAATGAGGTCAGGGTTCTCTAAAATTTTTTGGTGGTTGTTGGCAACCACTCTCTGTGCACTAGAGGATTAAGCATTCATTCCAGTCCTTAAACTTGTCCTTTGTGATCTTTTTGCTGGAAATTTCAAAAATATTTTGGGTCTTTTGGGTTCAGGAATCAAACTCAGGACCTCACATTTGCCAGACGGGTGCTGGGCCACTGAGCTGTAACTCCAACTCATGCCCTCTAAATTCTCAGCAGGCTATTTATTTACTCTGAGCCATGGTCACTGCCACTATTTGAGCACTAGATGGCGCCCAAGGTCCACGTTTGCCACAGGTCCAGGTTATAGTGTTGTCACTGTTTCAGTAATAGAGGGTGCTCCTAGCCTGTTTGCTGCAAATCTACAGTTAGTGTGCTATATGACACGGACTGGGAGTGCCTAAAAAGGATACTGCTAACTCAGAGGTGTGCTAGCATCCACCTCAGGCCAGGTTGTACCCAAACTCCTACCTATGCAGTCAGCCACTGCATTCTGCCTGCCCAGCCCTGAGCATCACAATAGACTGTCCAGCCCTAATCACCAAATACTAGGTCACATCCAGAGTCTATAGCTTCCCAATACCACTGTGGCACAGAGGCAGGATCAAGGCCTATGCTTCCGTGGCCAGCCTGATGCTGTGGTCTCTTTCTGACCTGATACCACTACAGGCAGCCAGAAATGATGTCCATCAGAGAGAGCACACATCCGTCTCACCAGGGCTGAAGGTTTCTGCCAGGTGCTGTCCTTGGACACAGGTTGGCTTCTGCCAGCCTGGGCTCTGAGTTCCAGATCAAAGTCCTACACTCACTTGTCTGCCATAACTCCCAGCAAGTGAAATCTTTCACCAAGCTATGCTGCCTGAGGTGGGAGGAGGCACGAGACCAAGAGTGATATTAAACTGGGTAACTCCTGAGGCTGGCAGCCTCAGAGACTGATGTAGCCGAGGCCTGCAGCATCGTTAGAAGTGGTGCAGGCTGGAATCTAAGCCCATCTAATTAGGGGTGCAGGTTCCTGACTGGCCCTAGATAAATCCAGAGGATTCATCCATCAGCCCTGGTCTGGGGGCAGGGGCTGCAGGGCACGGTGAAAATAGCGGACTTGGTCCCAGGTCCCACGGCTAAGAGCACACTTCACTTCCTTTTCCTCTCCGAGCAGGAGGCATCTCTGTAGGCTGCTTCACTGCTTGGAGCTGGGAGAACGGTAACAAAACACCTTTTCCTTTCCTACTGTCTTCAGTGCAGCGCTTCTTATAACGCTAGAACCGGGCACTCTGATCTCTCTCCGGCTTCCTAGCTCTGGTGAAGTAATTTTATGCAAGAACAAGTCGTTCAAAGTGGGGCATGTTGGTGTCCTGGCACTGAGAGGCTGAGGCAGACAGACTGCAAGTCTGAGTCCAGCTTGGGCAGCTTAGTGACTTAGTGAGACACTGTATCAAACATTTTTAAAAGGGTTTTTTTTGTTGTTGTTGTTTTGTTTTGCTTTGTTTTTTTAATTTTATTGTAAAGAGGAAAAATAAAATTTCAAAACAAGATACTAGGGAATGACAACAATTAATACAGTATGTACTGTTATCTTTAGTTACTCAGAGCACAAGGTATCAGCATTTAATTGTCCAAACAATATGAGCACCAACCTTTCTTTAACGGAGTTAAGAGACATTAGTAGTATAACTATCTTAACTGTGTGTGGGTGTGTGTAGTTTCACTTTTTCCTTCCTTCTTTTCTCCTTCCCCCTACCCCAGTTTCTCTTTCCTTTTGAACAGTCTCTTCCCATTTCACAATATTTATTGTACACTCTGATCTTGTTTGCTCGCAGTTTCTCACACTAGGGAGATAATATGATGTTTACACATATGTAAGCCTGATTTATTTCAATTCTGAGCATGGTCGCAAATTACATCCATTTACCTATTCAGGTTGCCACTTTATCCTTCTTTATGACTAAGTAGTACTCTATCATCTAAAAAGACCACATTTTTTTCTATCCATTCCTTGGTTGATGGGCATTTGGGTTGTTTCCAAAGTCTAGCTGTTACAAATTGTGTTGTTATAAACATGGGTGCACATGTATCACCACAGTACACAATGTTTTTAATTGATACTCAGCAAGAGAATAGCTGGGTCAAATGGGACCTATAATCGTAGGTTTTTGAGAATTCTCCACATTGATTTCTATAGTAACTGCGCCAGTCCACACTCCCACCAACAGTGGAGAAGGGTTCCTTTTCCCCCCACAAGCCCTCCAGCATTTGCTATTGGTTGATTTCTTTATTATAGCCATGCTTTCCAGGGTGACAATGTTGTTTTAATTTGCATCTCTCAAATGACCAGTGATGTTGAACATTTTTTTCATGTATTTATTTGCTGTTTGTATTTCTTCATCTGAAAAGTATGTATTCATCTCAGATGCTCATTTTTGGATTGGGTCTTTAAATTTGGGAGGTCTGATTTTTTTCTTTATATGTTCTTTGCAGTAATCCTTTGCCTAAGAACAGCTGGCAAACATTTGTTATCACCTTGGGGGTTGTTTCTTTACCCTGCTGGCGGTTTCTCTTGCTGTTAAAAAGCTTTTTATTTTTTTGTTTTTTGTTTTTTTTTTTTTTTGCTCAGCGGCATAAGCGCCTGCCTTGCAAGCAGGCAGTTGTGAGTTCGATCCCTGGTACCGATAAAAATGAAAAAGATAAAAAGCTTTTTAATAAGATGAGATCCCAGTTGTTGACTCTTTATAATACTTCCTGTGCGATCTGTGTTTTAGTCATAAAGTGTTTGCCTACATCAATGTCTTGAAGCGTTTTACCTAGTCTATCTTCGAGCAGATTTAATATCTCTGTTTTGGTTGCTTTTGTTTGTTTGTTTGTTTGCTTGTTTATTTGAGATAGGGTTTCAAACAACCTAGGCAGCCCAGGCTGACCTTAACTCACCGCCATCCTTGTGCCTCAGTCTCCCAAGTGCTAGGATTACAGGCCTGAGCCATTATGCCCAGCTTTAATGTCTCTGCTTTAATATTTAGATCTTTGATCCATCCCAAATTTATTATATGATGAAACACAAGGATCCAATTTTATTTGTTAGTGTGTGCAAAGCCAGTTTTTCCAGCACCATTTATTGAAGAGGCTGTCTTTCTTCCAGTGAATGTGTTTGACACCTTTGTCAAAGATAAGACAGCTGAATATGCCTAGAATTGTTTCTGCATCTTCTAATATGTTCCATTGATCCTTGAGTCTGGTTTGTTTGTTTGGGGTTTATTTTCGCCAGTACCATGCTGCTTTTATCACAGTAGCTTTATAGTATAATTTGCAGTCAGGGATTGTGATGACCCTGTCTTGCCTTTGTTGCCCAGAATTGCCTTTGCTATTCTAGGTGTTTTCTGGTCCCACATGAATTTTAGGATAAAACAATAAAAGTTTTTGAAGGGCTTAGAATGTAGTTCAGTGGGAAGACCCTGGTTTTAATACCCAGTAGTGGGGGAAAAAAAAGGTTGTTATCATTGTACTTCTATGGGACATCTTGCTCTGGCACCTTCAATATATTTTTGAAACTATTTCAGTGCTTTTTAAAAATTAAGGTCTTGAAGGAAACCAAGCTTCAGCTCTTTCTAATGATGTTCCTATTTGCATCCCCCTCCCCCCTTTCTGGTCTCAGGACTGAAGGGCTCCCTTCAGAGGCTGCAGCTGGAATATGTAGATGTGGTCTTCGCAAATCGTCCAGACAGCAACACCCCCATGGAAGGTGAGTGAAGAAGCTTAATAAAAGACTAAAGAAGCATCATGAAGTCACTCTATTCACTGTCCAAATAACGAAATATATAATAGCTTAATTTGATTGAATGTGAACAGCTAACCTTTGTGATTGATGCCTGTCAGCCTCTGTATTTACCCTAAAAGCCTCTGTCTTGTGTCTCCTGCAAGTTCTTCTCCTTTTCTTCCTCTTCTTCTTCTTCTCACCTTTCTTCGTCCTTATTTTCTTCTTATTCTTTGCAGTTGAAGGTACTAGGTTTATAGTTCCTGCTGGTCACAGTGCTCATTTTTTCCAAGTTCATTTCACTTTATAGTTTCATCAACTAAAACACTAAACTAAATGAGAGGGAGAGTTTATGACCCAACCGTCAATAGTTTGGAGTGAGTCCTCGAAGGGTCTTTTTATTTCATGATGACGCTAAGTCTGATCGTTTCCAACCTGTAGTAACTAATGCTAAACAATGCTGTGGACAGAAGCACAGCAGGAGAGACAACGCAAAACAAGACTGTTGGTTGCTGATCATCCAGGAACCACAATATCCTAATCATTTTCTGTTTCAACTCTTAGACCCCATGTTAGGCTTCACCCTGTGGAAGTTTCTAGAATGTTCTTTAAACTAGATTATTTTTTTTTTTTTTGCAGCATACATTTGTTTATGAAGCCTTTTTAGAAAGAAAATGGTTTAGAGGGACGATTTTTAAAAAATGTTCCAATTAATTTAGGTTTATAGTCACAGATTACTATTTACCTGAGATGACTAAAAATAGAGATATTTGAGAATAAAGAGAAGAGGAATGTTTTGGTTGTTTTATAATACAATCAGTTTTAAATAATAACATAGTATAATTCACATAAAATTAAAGGTAATTTTGTGTTTAATGATCCAAAAAGTAGTTCAGGCTATTGTAAAAAATTGACTTCTGCAAGATTTATTCTTGCTATAGGGTTATAGAAGATTCAGAGAAGTATAAATGATTAATATACATGTGAATTTTTCAAGGTTAAACTTTTGAACACAAAAAATGTTATAAAAACTACTCTGCTATTTTTTGCCACTTAATTCTTTGCCATTTATTCCTTTCTCAACTACAGTGAACTGTTAAATATCTATAACCTATCTACTTATTTATACTTTATTTCTTCCTAGAGTTTTCTACTTTCTTGATTCTGAAAAATTAAGACTTTACTATGAAGTTAGTATCATTGTTGGAAATTACCCATTGAAATGACATAAAGATCACACATATTTTGTCAAAGCCAAGATTAGTGTGTTAAGCAAATCTCAAACACTTGCTTCTTGTAAGGATGATATGATGTCACATAATTCTCAAAGACGGGAAACGATCACTAAAGCAACTTACTCAACAAAAGTGTTGAAAGCTGCCACTGAGTGGGGTCTATGAAAAACAAGAATAGCTTTACATTTTAAGGACTTAGTGACTATTTCCCTCTTGGGAATGGTGTGTTTGGCAATTATACACATACCTGTCAAGATAGGAAAATATATGAAGTTTTTCCGTTGTTTCCCCCATCCCTACCCTACCTTTAATTTTACAGATATATGGTAGTGATATTTCAAAGAGTAAATATAATTTGCATATCAATAAGAGGAGGAATATATTATTCTCCAAGACAAAAACTTTGCTTTATATATAGGAGGAAATTCTCCAACTTTAACACTACTAAGATAATGGTGTCTTGGTTGAGTGTCTGTAACCCTCGCTGGTCAAGAAACAGGCAGCATTGCAAGTCTGAGGCCCATCCAGGCAGCTTAGCAGAACTGTCTCTCAAAGGGCTAGGGATGTAGCTTAATGGTACAGCATGTGGCTAATATACTTGAGGCCCTGGGTTCAATCCCCAGTACTGAAGGAAAAGGAGGGAAAAACCACAGTGGTGTCTCTTGTGTAAGCTCTGATTATGTCTTGAAACTGATTAAAAGGAAGTTTCAAACTATTTTTTAAAAATAGATTGCGGCAGCCTGGTAGTTGTAACTGTAGCATTTTTTAGCCTTTACTAGAATCAGAGAAAATTTATATGTTCCTTAAGTTTCTTATATAAAATTCCACAAAGCAAAATAGGAAGCTATTGTATATGAAGTCGTCCAAATTACAGAAGCATGATGCGGTTGCAAAGGTTCTGGAACATGTCACTCAGTAGCCAGCTCAGCAGCAAGTGACCACCTCCTGTTGGGGCGTAGCCCCCAAAGGGAAACCCACCCTAAGCAGGTCAGTCAAGCTCAGGGGCTGAATCTTCTCAGAGAACAAGCAGGGATGTTTTGTGGGCAGTTCTCACAGGACATGTTGCAGAGGGAAGTCGTTTCCCTGTAAATTTTCCCTTGCTTTCAGAAAATATGTGCCATACCCGCAGACTCAGTATGCTTATTTGTTCCAAGGTAGTTTCAGTGGAAATGCCAGTGTTTGAAACTGGGAACATGCTTTTGATTAGCTTTTTCTACTCCACTGTAACACAGGAAAATACTGAGCTGGGAAATAGGAAATAAAGGGTAGCCAGGTGGACTTGGGTGAATCTGTTTCTCAAAAAATTGGTGGGGGGAAGAATGCTGTTCAAGCTATTTCTGGACATTATGTTGTTAAGATTCCTTTTTAGAATGATTTTATAAATCATATGTATGTGTACATACATGAAAGTTGTACATATGCAATGAGGTCTACTTGAAGAGGGTTATTAGTGTTTCTAAATACAATACATATGGTGAATACTACATATAATCAGACAGTTCTTGAAAAGCCCTCAGTAACTCTTTGTTAGTTACTCTAAAGTCTTTATTTATTCATTTTTTTCTCTTGGTATAGGAACAAAATCATCATCAAATACTTATCCAGTCACTGCTCTTTTTATAATGACAGAAAAATATTTAATAGCATCCACACACTTGTCCTGTTTCAGCAATTCACATAGGCTGATTTAGGCTCCTTTGCCTCCATTTCTGTTTAGTAGAAATGACATGAGTGATTGCCAAGCACATATTATTGAATTTCCAAACACTAAATCAATAAATGTTAAAACTATAGATCCTCAGCACTGTAGATGACTTGTGTTGGTTTCAACCACTCCTCCACTCCATGAACTCACAACGTAGCCTTTTTAATTTGCTATGGCATTTATTTTAAACCAAAAGGATCAATGCACTTCCCAAAAGAGAGCCCAGCTACATCAGCACTAGATCCTCTCTATCGCTTATTACCCAATAGAGTGGAACTGGAGCCTCCATCCGTACAAACTTCCTGAATCGTGTCTCTGTGTGTGTACCTTTGAGCATCTCTAAAGCACATTTCAAACAACTTCCACTTCTATGTGCTTAAATTACCATCCCCTTTATGTGATTTCTACCAGGTAACAATGTTAATGAGGAGTATTTATAAAATAAACCAAGATGTGTCTCATCCAGTTTCTGTCGATCATATAGCAACCATTGGGCCCAAGAAAGATTAGCTGCAGCATGCTCTTCATGATATATTGGCTATACTGGATCTCCTCCAGTTAGTCCTTCCACTCTTCCTTAGAAAAATCAAACGTACAGTCATCAGAGACGTGGTGTAACAGTGTAGGGTACAGTTAGACAGGAGGGTCATGGGAAGATGTTCCTGACAGTGGAGGGGAGCATGTGTACTTTTTCTTCTGTCTTCTTGTTCTTTTTTTTTTTTTTTTTTACCTGGTTTACCTAGTAGTAAGTCATTTTCTTTTGCAGCATCTGCCACACCATCTGTCTCTGCTTCCATATCTGGCAGTGATGGGCATGTCTTCCAATCCTAGAAAAAAAAATCAGCCCCATATCTCACTTCTTCCTTGTAACACTGTGTCCCTCCACATAAAATCACTGACCATTCCTTGCGCTCTACAGAGCTCAAATTCTTAATTCTGTCACTTTCTTAAATCCTCAATGTGGATTTCAAAATCTTCGTTCAAGCCCACTAGACAAGAGAAAGTTCAGGACAACTTAAGTCATGCGGGACATTGGTAGAGAGAGCATTTGGGTGGTGCCTGGGGAAGTTTTGTCTTAGTTTTCTGTCATTCTCAAATGCCAGACTAATTTCACTGCTCCAGAGAGAAAGTGATTGAACGTGACGGTGGTCAGAAAAGGAGGCTATAAAATGTAGCCCACTTGTGCATAATAGCAAAAAGAGAAGACCTACTGTAGTTTATATTGCTCTTAAACTTGGTCAATGTGAACACAGGATAATTTTTCAATTAAATTAAATTTTAATTAATTTTAATTTAAAAAACACTTGAAATTGAGTTTTTGTTTTTCATTTAGACTGTTGCCAAAACTAATCTCTTAATATCCTGAGTTGTTATATATTATTTCCATACCAATTACTGTTATATTTATTGTTTTCTTCTTGCAGATTAGTGTAGACATAAGCAACTTAAATGTCTCAACTCAAATATGAATCAACTTCACCTAATTCTTATAATATTATATTTATAATTCTTATAATAATTCAATCTAGAAGTATTTACTTCTTTCTAAAACATTTATTTTGCTATTGTCATAGACAAACAGGAATCTATGGATATTAAGAAATCTGGGATATCTAATGACAACTCAGAAAGCAGAAAATATTGCAGGACCCACAAATTTTTTTTTTTATTTAAAGAGAGAAGAAAAAGAAGAAAAAAAAAAGAAAGGACATAAAAAAAAAAAAACAATGCAGTAAAAGGGTACAAATAATACAGTATTTCTAGAAGAAAAATATACAGTACGAAATCATCAGTTAATAGGTTACATATTATCTTCCCAGAAACAGTTGTCCATATCACTAAATTAAAGCATATAAAGTGAGCATTCATACAGTGAAATTGGAGACAGTTCCGTTCAATGATCCAACAAAAGCTCAGTTACATGGTTTTCCATCCTACACACTCGAACATACCTGCAGGACCCACAAATTATCAATAATTTATCAGTTTCAGAATACTAGACCATGTACTTAACTTTTCAAAGTAAAGTTTTCAAATAAAAATGCAACTACCTAATAATATATTTTTGCGACAACAGGTCATCCTTTCTGCCTTTATTTTTTATCTTCACTGAAAGTTGTCCTCAATCTGTCCAACATAACAGCGGGAAGAAATTTTCTGCAAGTGTGTAACTTAACAGTTCATCAGAAATATAATAAAGCCATATATTCAATTAAACTTTTTTATTAATCACATTAAAAATAAAAAGTAGATGAGATCAATTATATTATATTGAATCCTACATGTCAAAATTTAACCCTTCAATGTGTAACCAGTATAAGTGTATTAATGATATATTCGATACCAAGTCTTTGAAATCTATTATGTACACTTTGATTTTGACCAACAAATTTCACATGCTCTGTAGCTACCAGAGGCTAATAGCTACTTGATTTGACCATGTAGGAATAAACTCTATTCTCAGTTTAAAGGAGTCAAAGGCACCCGTGGATATTCAATAAGTATTTATTGACTAGATGGGTGGTTAATTGAATGAATGTTTGAAATGTGTTTGAGTGACTATATGCAGTTCTAAAGTTGAATAGATCCAACCTCATTTTCTTTTTACTCGAAAATTTGGCAGTGTTTCCTACATCAATTAACATCCTGCTACCTGGTCTAGCTCAACATATTGCAAGGTGAAGTTAAGACAGACAGATTATTGGCAAATAGACCTAGGACTCTCTTACGTCCCATTTCTTCTCATCTGCAATAGCAGTAGCTTCCAGATGCTGGATCTCTCTTCAGAAATCTGACTGAACCCGAAACACACAGCAATGAGCCGAAGTATAGCTCTTTGGCAGTACAGCCGCCTCTGAGGATCACTACATCAAATTAAAACTATTTAACACAGTTCATTTATGACCCTGGCCAGAATTCTCCTAAGGGCCTCTGCTGTCTATCAGCTCAATTTAACTTCCTGGCTTGAAAAGCTAGGACAGCTGAGTTTTCAAGAAATTGATAGGGAGAAAATGATTTTCATATTCAAGATGAGCCAAACCCTACCAAGCCTGTGGCAAACAGAAAATGTATTCCAATTTTACTAAATCAAGTTTATTTCCATTTTAACTATGAACTTGCCAAAACTTTTACAGATATTTTAGACCTACTTAGATGATGTGTTCTCTTTTACAGAAAAAGAAAGGATATCATGAAAAGAGAAATCCATCTTGTTCATCCTAAAAGCGATGGGGCACTGCAAGCCCTTTCCGTCTCTGCCTCTGCTTTTTGGATAACTGTGTGTGTTTGTTCACTGTGGGCCTCCATACTGGAACAATATTTCCACAGGGTGGACTGAGCGTGAGATGGACGCTGTTCAGTACTGTGATTTTGCTACCAACCTGACTTTAAGCCTGGGCAGGTTACTATCCTCAGTCACGCTCCGTTTCTTTACCTAAAAATGGAGGTAACATATAAGCCACCAGTTGAATGAGTTACTGCAAGCATAAGTGCCACCCACACAGCTGAGGCAAAAAAACACAAGCCCCAGACAATGAACATACATACGTATAAATTCTCCCTTCTCTAGCTCTTCTGAAATGACCATGGGAAAGGCCCTGAAATTACAATATGAAAACCAATGGAGGTGGCCAAGCTACAGAGCTATCCTGGGTCTGAGTAGGTCACATAGCGTCTTGGTTACTTTTTTCTTGTTTTTGGGACAAAATACCTGATGCCTAACATGAAGGAAGGAGAAATTTATTTCTTACAGTTTTTGGAGGTTTCAATCCATAGGCAGCTGGCTCCAAGGCAGGGTGGCATGGCACAGGAGCAACAATTCAAGGCAGCAGCCTGGGTGAAAGGGGGGGAAACAAGCCTCTTCTCCTCCCTTACATTGTACACAGGCCACCACCCACCCCTTCAGGGCAGGTGTAGCACTCACAAAATCCCCTTGCCCTCCTTTGCACAGGACCAGGATAACTAGGGACAGGGGCCCCCTGCTGATCACTTTAGTTAAAGGCTTCAGACCTTCTCAAACTGACACAAGGAACAGTGTCCTAGAAAGGTAACTGCTTGTTCTCTACACCTCAGGACAGAGAGCTGCTGAGTCACTTAGCTGAGCTTCTAGACTTCTCAATTGACACAATGTATAAAGCATAACACCTAGGAATCAAAACACAGAGCTAGCAATGGGATGTTCTTCTAACCTTTTTTTTTTCTCTCTCTCTCCTTGAGATTCTCTTCTGAATGCCTTCCTGCCACTTAATTTAGTCACAGATTTTCCAGGGTTAACTTGCTCAGTCTGAATGGCAATCGTGTATCTGTGACTATTTTCAAAGATGTCTCTAGAAAAAACTCAGGATTACTCTTTGACTCTGTTGATACTCATTGGCTACCTGCTCTGTGGCAATCACTGTTCAAGGGACTAGGAGAAGCCATTATTGAAATTACATTCTTGTTGGGGAGACAGACAACAAGTAGGAAAGGATATGGAGATGCTGATGCCACAATGCTGTAGAAAGAGACATAAATCCTGGGTAAGGAATAGGAAATTATAGGGTGTAGATTTTAGGTAAGTTTATCAATGAAAGTGTAACTGAGAAGGATACAGGGGAACAGCTTGGTCCTCCCCAATATAGAACAGGCATGTCTTTAGGGTTAAACCCTAATTCAAATCCTCTTTCTATTACCAACTAATTTCCACTTGTCTTAGGCAAGTTACTTAACCAGTCCCGTCCTTCATTTCTTTACCTGTAAAATGCAGGTAATACTACCTACTCTACAGAGTCATGTGAGGATTATTATACGCTTAGGATGTTACCTAGCACATAGTGACTACTCAAAAGGTGAGAGGTTTCATTTTCTGTTATTGTTTATATGACCCAGCTGTGAACTTTTCATGTAGGAAATTACTTTGATGCAATGGTGGCCTACAAATATAGCACCAGGTTATCCTAGAGGCTCAGAAAAGAAGACTCGCATAATAAATTCAGATGCATGAGTCAGGGGGGTTAGCAAATCAATTATAATGCATGAAGAGAAGAAAGATGTGGTTAAAACAACTAGGATAGACACACGCAGGTGTGAAGGGCCCAACTACCAAAATCTTAAGACCTGCACTGCCATGTGACCTGTGCTCTCGCTTCTACACTGGCCTTCCTCGTGGTCGCCAGGAACAGGTAGGAGATTTGAGCAAGCGAGCTGAGCAGACTGGAAAAGACATTTTCTCTGAAAAGACTCAAGGACAAGTCCACATGGCCATTAGCTGTAGCTCACCAGTTAGCTTGATGGGCAGCTAGCTAAATCACCAATACAATAGCTGATTTAAGACCCCATTACATTTTCATCTTTCATGTATATTTAATGTATTTCAAAAACACATATGAATGTGCTGTGAATTTCACATCTTTCCATTTCTTCTATGTTCAACACACACATTTTCTTCTGTGTCTGTGGCTACTGTGCCTCAGTGGTTACTAATCCACTTGGTTTTACCAAGGGAGTTACGTAAATTCTGCCTAAGCTTCATAAGCTATTTGTTTGTCCAACTGGTATCATTTATCCTCTTGTTTCTTTCCCTTACTTTTTTGAACGGAACCAAATCCTTGTTGAGTGACACAGGTCAGGCACACTACTAAGCCCATTCTGAATAGCTGACCTGCGGCCTCAGGCTTGAAGGGTCTTTGAGGCCTGTTGTAAAATTTTCCAGAGTTAACAGAGGCCCACAGACTTGTGGATGGGAGTCATTCTGAGATGCATCCATCAGAAACAGAGCTCCAGTTAACAAATTATTTTTTCCACCTGGGTTTCTGGCAAGAATAAGGAGCTTTAGAAAAATTACCTCCACTAGAGCATTCTGAAAAGTTAGGGTTGCCAAGGCTACAGAAAATATGTGAAGAGCTGGCTTTAAAAAAAAAAAAAAAAAACCCACATTCCAAAAACCAGTTTATAGTCATCTGGCCCTTTATTTTATGCTTTTGTTGGAAACAGGATTTCCACCTTCATTCCACAAAGTCCTGGTTGGAGGGGTGAGTCTGGACAAGGGTATGTTTACATTATTCTATACCCTTGAGCTGTTTCTTTTATCCTCCCCCCTTTTTCTTCACATCTTCACTTAATAGTAAAGTAGAAAGACTCAAGCCCCAGGCTTTACTAAAAGAAAAACGAGATGGTCCATGTGTTTGAGGCTTATTATGACTAACAAAGTTTCCAGGCCTCCCCAAGGTCAGGGAGGGTGCCTTTCTCTCCTCCTCCACCTCCTCCTCCTCTTCTTCTTCCTCTTCCTCTTCCTCTTCATCCTCCTTCTCCTCCTCCTCCTCCTTCTTCTTTTTAGTTAAGCTGCTTTTAGTTAAGAATAACGAGAGAGAGAGAGAGGAAGGAGGAAAAAAAAAACAAAAAGAAAAACGGAGGTCGCTTCTGCTCACCCAGCTGTCAGGTGGAAAGCGGAGCTGCTTGGTATTCTGGGCTGTGGGGTGTGACTCATGGGACTCGTGTGTGCTTCCTCCTGGGTGAGTTGTCATCTCCCTGAACAGTATCTGCAGTGGTGACAGGACTGAACTTCGTGTTTGCAAAGGCACGTTGACTCAGTCTCGGGAGAACTTATGTCTGTGAGTTCCTCCGAGTGTGGCCGGCCTGCAGCACTGTCCACTCAGTGAGGACTAACCCGGCCCAAGGGAGCTGGCCGGTCTGCACAGGCGGGCTGCGAGCTCCTGCCCGCTCAGCAACACCGAGTGAAAGGCCTAGATAGCCACCTGTGTCACTGCTGATCTAAAATTCTCAGTCAGTGGAGATAAACAAAGACCTCCCGGCCTCTTTCTTACTTTCTCTACAAAAGAATTAAGGCGAGTAAGAGATTTTGTTAAATTCCTCCTGGATGTTTAGCGAGTGTGGTGAAAAAATACAATCCAAGAAATAAGGTGCTAGTCTTTAAGTATGTGAACTTGGCTGAGTTAATCAGGCTTCCTGGTTCTCCAGTTTTTCATTTATGAAATGGGAAGAATAGAAACACTACGTTCCCTAGCTATTTCCAACATGGTTGTGAAGATAAATGAGAACATTTCAATGGAAATGTTTCACAAATCATAATGCCTCACACAAACATTTTGAGGTTGTTATTGTTGTTGCTGTGCATGTTTGTATAACATGAATACTAAAGATGAAAGCTTTAGTCAAACCCCAGGACATAACTGAAATGAAATTCAGAGTAAGGTGACTAGTCTCCATTTCTGTACTTACCCAGTACTCTCCAGCAACACTTACCAAACTGTGCTGCATTTTGCTTTTATTTTTATTTTATTCTTACTCATTGTGGCATTTCACAAAGAAATACTTTCTCCATTACTTCACTAAGAATTCCTGCATATGCCCATGGGACAATCATCACACTCAAAAAATTTAGGATCAACACACTCTTGCATAATAGGCCATTTTCATATTTCCTACTTAGTTATTATTTGTTTAATCTGCAATAATTCCATTTTTTTTTTCTCTTTGGTGACACTACTTCTACTTAGGGCAGGTCAGTCGTTTTGGAGACTCTCAATTTGGATTTATTTGATTCTTTTATCTTAATTGGACTAAACCTTTGGTAAGAATATGACACAGGCAGTGTTGGGGCTTCTCAGTGTCTCTCTGCAAGGGCCCAGAAAGCTACATGTGTCTCATTATTGTGCATGGAATTCTTTGTCTCTGAGGGTGATATCTGCCATGATTTTCCATATGACAGCATTTGTTTTACTTTATAGTTAATAAATAACTTACTAATTGGTTCTTTGAAACAATGTGGATAGCCTAGTTCCCTATAACTTTAATTTAGTATTCATTCATGATTGCTGCCTACATCAGTTTTTATGATGCATATTGTAAGTAGGGTATGTCCTAGTTGCATTATTGCTCTTCATTTACTAGTTGGTGCCCTTCTGTAGGTAGAACTTGCCCTTTGCCTCCCCTTCACTCTCAGCTCTGTGACTCTGGGCCTCCTCATTGGCTTTGAGAATACAAAAGTTGAGAGAAAGGAGAGGAGCTGTTGAGAAGAATCAGTCTGAAGGAAAAGCTGCATGACACCCAGCAGCTCACTACAACTCTGTTTGGGATGCAGGACTTCAGGACCACTGGCTGTAAAACACAACATAACCACTATGAGCAGGAAGCATGGTGGCCTTGAAGCTGACTCATGCTTCAAGAATCTAGAGGCAGAGTGGTAGCCAGCCATCTGCCTTGATGGCCAAACTGGGAGAGGACTGTGCTTCTGGAGGTGACAGAGCTGGCACTTGTGAATGCAGCTTGTGTGAAGTCATCTTGAGGCTTATCTTGTAGGACCTCCCAGAGGTGGAGGCTGTAACCAAGAAGACAGAGCCAAGTGGGCAAGGGGGTGCAAACAGTAAGGAGCTAGAAAAATCAGCCATTCTCCTAGCATCCCCCTCTCACGGCATGTTCCAGAAAGGGAGGAGTTTGAAACTTTGACTGAAATCTATGAAGCATGTTTAGTATTATAATGACCTCAGGACAATCTAGTAGCCAAGAGTGTGCAGAAAAGCTGTGGAACCAACCTGAGTTTTCATCAAGGCCCAGGGATACTTATTACTGCTAAACATGAAGGGCCCACAGGTGATGCAAAATAAAGCTGGATGATTATATTATCTAGAGTATTTCTTGTTCTAAATATTAGCTATATGTCTTTTAATGCCTAATATTAAATCTGTGACTAAAATTACATGTGCAAAAATTAACACTTCTTATTAGTTTCAGAAAACAAATTGTTTACTTTGTAAGAAATACCATTACATCCAGTGTAATCATATATTCAGGAAAAGTGCTTTGTGCTTTGAAGATTTGTCTCCAAAATCACAAAATAAGTCAGTTCACTTACAGAAAATGTATATAGGATATACAGACATCCCTTAGGGCTAGGGATGTCTACCATTACTCTATCCCACAAACTCTCTGAAGGGTTTTGAATCTGAATCAAAATCTGAAAAATTTTGAATCTTAAGACTGAATCTGAAGACTTTTGAAAGTCTTCAAGAATCTTTCAAAAGTGTCACTTCTACTGCTTTGTAGAATGATTGTCAATCTTCAAATACTGAAAAATATTATATGTCACAAAATCTCAAACCCCTGCAATTTGGAATGTATCCATCCTTTTTAAAGGTATCCCGATGTTAAATTTTGTCTAAAATTCTGAAAGGGGAGCTGTTAGCTTCAGTTAACCTAGTCATACAAAATTGATGATAATAAGTAAGACACTTTTAGACTTAACTTTTTCAAATCCAAACATAGTACAGAGTTTACCTACACAAGAAAATTAGTCTGTTATTTTTAAGGACCATTGGATGGAAGAGATGGTACAGAGAAGTGGTGGGAAGGGAAAGACAACTTAGTATTACCAATGGTCTCCTTTTATTGGGGAGAAAAAGAAAGCATGTATCTTCCGCTTTGAAACTAGAATATCTGATACTGGAAGAACCCCAGTTATCACCTAAATGAGTATTTTTGTGTAATGAGAGAAGAGAAAAACCATACTTGGCATAAAAATTCACATAAAATTTAACATAAAGCAAAAGAAAGAAAGCCCCAAAGGAAAGTTTTAGAAAGAAAAAAGGATGAATTTTTGTTTCTGTTATTCATTTCCCCCACTCCCTTCCTGAGCAAGATCCAACTATTTTAAAACCTTTTCTGAAAAACCCTACAGAATGCATTTTGAATGTCATCATCACTTAGCACTCAGCCTGGCTCAGAAAAGAATACGGCCGAGTACAAACATTCAGATCCCACACCTGGCTCACTCATTTATTCATATTCAACTAATACTTATTCACTGTGCAGTGTGCATCAGAGCATGAGTAGGATATGAAAGAACAAAACAAACACAATCCCCATTTTTTTAATTTGTTGAGTATTTTTTTGAGTGTGTGTGTGTGTGTGTATGTGTGCATACCAGGGATCAAACTCACAACCTCGCGCTTGCCAGGTAGGCACTTGTGCCACTGAACTAAATCCCCAAGCCAAGATCTACACTCTTGTGGGACATATTTAATTTAGCAGACAATACAAGAATCATGCAGTAAAGCAGTAAAGAGATAAATTATACAAATTATTAGAAAATAACAGGCATTAAAGAAAGAAAAAAACCAAAACTAATGAGAATGGAAATTCTCAGAAAGTCAGAGTGACCATGGGAAGTTAATGATTCAACTGTTAATAAATGAAAATGGAAACATATAGAAGAAAGAGAATATAACCATTGTATACTACTTCAGTGAGCAGTGGAAAATAAATAGTCATAAAGATGAAAGCCTGAGCTGAGAATGTACCACAGTAGCAGAGTGGCTGCCCAGCATGGGTGAGCCCTGTGTTTAATCCCCATGGCCATCAGAGAGAGAGAGAGAGAGAGAGAGAGAGAGAGAGAGAGAGAGAGAGACCTCTAAGAGAGCTCAGCAGACAGCGTCTTAAAAAGCTGAAGCAACACAGTAATACATAAATATTATTGAAAAATACAGAGATTAACACCAGAGGAAACATTTGCATGTACTGGACGTGGCTGGAATAAGTACAAAGGCTGTCTATCACAAGCCTTTTAACATGAACTCTTTAAACAAGGTGTAACTAAAGGTAAAACTGAAGATGAAAACAATAATGGCCCAAGGGAGTATTAAATATGCTTGTTACTGTGAATTCAGACAGTCTTTGGCATTTAGCTACATACAACCAACCTAGCTTTCCCAGTCCAGACTTCCTGATCAGACGCCAACTCATCTCTCAAAAATATAGTAGTGACCTACCTGCCACTTTCTGAATAAACTCTGTGGGATCATATGCCTTCCCTCAGTGACCACGCAAGGGGGCCATGTCAAATAATCCACTGCTAGATGAGAAGAGAATATCACCATTTCGATTTGCTTTGTATCATCTTTAAATGTTTCTTTTATTTATATATTTCATTTGCTTATTTTTAAGTTTTCTACTAGTATACAGTGATTAAAGTATCTAAAACCATACAAAGAAGTCCTGTGTACCTCTCATATGGATTCTCCCAAATATTAATATCTTCCACAATAACCATTGTGCAATCAAGACTCTGAAAGTTAACTTTGATGCAATATTGCATGATCTATGCATCTTATTCATGCTGTTCCAGTTATCCTAGTGATAGCAATTTCTGGTTAAGATCCCATATTTGCAATTGCAGTCTTTAGTCTCCTTTAACCTGAGTTTCTTAGTCTTTCTTTGTTTTTCAAAAGCTTGATACCTTAGAAGATTATTAGCCAGTTATTTTATAGAATGTATCTCTATTGAAATTTTTCAGTTACTTCCTGTGATTAAATGTGAGTTAGCCATTTCGACAGAAGTCCTACAGAAATGATGCTGTGTTCTCCTCACTGTACCATACTAAACGTACGGGATGTTTGTTTGTCTTATGCTGATAATGTTAACTTGGTCACTTGGTTTTAAAGTGATGCCTAGTAGATTTCCTTACTGTTATTTTTCCCTTTTTAATTAATAAGTATAGTTGAATGACATACTTTGAAACTAAGCAAATATCCTATTTCCTATACAATTTCCTATTTGCCTGCATAATTCAGTTATTTTTTGCCTCAACAAGTACTGTAGTGATTTTCTAATTCCTTCAAATTTTACATTTAGGGTCAGGGATATAGGTCAGTGGCACAGTACATGCCTGGCAAGCACAAGGTCATGAGTTCAATCGCTAGTACAAAAAAAAATTTTTTTTACATTTATTTATTTACTTGCACATTTATTTTTAGCATTCTACTTTATTCAGTTATTTATATCAATATGGATCTATAGATTCTGATACATGATCCATAATTCATTACTATCATTATTTGGTGGCTACAGTTTCCCCAACATGGACAGTACGAGCATCTTTCTCATGTTGCTGATGTCTTTCACATGTACAACCTTCACACGTCCCAACTTTTCGGGAATTTGTTTTCATTTTTTGGACCAGGAAACATAATAGAAATTTCTTGGGCCTACCCTCACTTCTGCAGCGTAGGGACTCCCCTTTGACCGTCCCCTTCCCTTAGTAGGAGTAAGCACCCTGCTTTCTCTCCTGTTCAGCACTTACCTTCTACTGCCGTCTGCAATACATGGTGGGCCACAAGGGAAGGACAGCTCTGAACAAACGACTTCCTTGTCTGACGTTCAGGTTCTGTCCTGCAGGCTTGCTGTGTTGAAAGAGGTTCTTGCAAGACTGCAAGGAAATGAAAGCCAAGGAGAGAAAGGAAACTGTACACTGTTGCACTACAGGAGTGCCCTGTGGACACACACACACACACTCTGGACAGTGCTAATAAGAAGTGAATGATCTCAGGAAATAACATGGTTCCTGTAAGTCTCAAAAAGTTAGCATTTCAGTCCTTGAACCTAACCTGAGCTGCTCCATGAGGGCCTCCTGGTCTGCTTAACTGGGTTTATGCAATAGCAGTTTCTAAATTGCTGAAGCGCGCTGTGCAGACAAGAGCGCACGAGACCAGACTGCCTGCTTTCAAATCCCAGGTCCATTACTTACAAGTGAGTAACCTTGCACAGTGTACTCACCTTTGCTGGGCCTTGATTTCCCCATGTGCAAAATAAGAATAATAACAAGCTAATTGCAGAAGAGTCATGAAAAGGGTCAATTAGCTTATAGCATTGCTAGGCATAAGTGACATATTAGTGTGAAGTGTCAATTTTAACAAGCAAAAAGTAGAAGACCCTTAATATTAATGTGTATTAATGTGTATAAATATGTACAAAAGCTCAAGATATAGAGATTAGGTGAAACTCAGTTCTGTGCCTGTTTAAAGACTAATTTTCTAAGAGGGGCATTATATCACAGCTTCTCTGTCTCTGACCCTCCTGATGCTTTTGTGTCACAACCAGCCATGTGTTTCCCCTGAAGCCCAGGAAGTGTAATTGTGTAGAGAAGCCGATTGCGGAAGGATACAGGGAGCTGGACAAACCAGTGTAAACATGAGACCTTTTCCTCTGTGTCATCCTTACTCAGAGATTTGTAGAGCAAAATATTGTTGTTCTAAAACATTATTATAACACAGAACAGAAAGTCTGAGTATTTTTTACGATAAAGCCGTACATTTTTCATTCTGCTTGCTGTTACGGCCACTTTAGTTGTTATATAGTAGAAGCATTGCCTTTATGAAAACTCTTTCTTCCTTAGGAGAGGCTTCTAATGGGGAAAATAGCCATTTTGGGTTGGAAGATGGGAAAAAAAACTCTCCAAAAAAGGAAAATGAAAGAGACCAAGGGCCCCAGTTACAAACAAACAACAAGTGAGACCACCCACCAGAGACCAAGAAATGAACAACAGGCACCCCAAGGCACCCCCACCGAGGCGGCCCGCCTGTCTGCACCTCCTGCAGCAAATGCTGCTAGTCACTCTGGTGAGCCTGTATTTCAACACACTGAGCAGGGAGTGCTTTGTTTTCAAATAGTACAGGATTAGGAACTCCCCCTTACTTGGTATTGGCTGTCAAAAGCTGAGAAACTCATACTTCATTATGTCAAATTTAAAAGTTGCCTGTTGGTTACATACCAGACATCTGACAAATGTAGATAAGCACCACAGTGCCAAAATGGATTTGGTGCTACTAGAAAGCTGTCCTGGGCCTAAGGGGAGAGACTTTAATATCATTAAGATTAAGACGGCATCTGCTTCCAGACTTTCCCA